TCTCTCTCTCTCTCTCTCTCTCTCTCTCTCTCTCTCTCTCTCTCTCTCTCTCTCTCTCTCTCTCTTTCACTCTTTCTTTCTCTCTTTCTCTCCAGCTGGAATGATTCATTCTCGATTACCTCTCTCTACCCTTTCTTTCCTCATTTCTTTTTTATGTAGAGATACGTCGTATGTGTATGGACTAATGTATACGTGATAATTGTGTTCCCCCCGCTCATGTGTCGACCGTTCCGTGTCTTTTAGCCCCCGTTCGACGAGTTCTCGTCCTTGTTATCTATTTTTAACATTTAGCGTTAATAATGTTTTTTCTCGGACATTGAGAGTGTTGTTCTCGATGCGAGGTCTTCGTAATGAGCGTACTTTGTAGTCAAAGCTGTATCTATATAAATTATCGAGATAGTGCGTTAATCGCACGTGTATCCACTCTGCCGTCGCGCTTAATTCGCGATCAACCGGATAGCCTGTTCGAGTGTGTCAGATTTTCGACATAATGCGTCAAAAGAGAAGCAATGTGTATATTTCTTCCCGGTGTCCGTGGATTAATCGCGGCTGCACCGTAACATTGTACAGACATAATTTAAATGTCCTCTCAGTCTCTCCCTCGATTGATTCAATATCTTTAAGGCATCCGGCTACTCGTCGCGTTCATATTGGATTGTAACGTTAAAAGTGAAAAATGACATGCTAAAAATTCTTGTACGCCATCTCCAAATAAAAAAATGTTTGTATGAAAAAGCACTTCAGATTGCTTGAGCATACTTGTAAGATGTTCCAAAAACTATCCTTTTTCCTTGATGGTCAAAGAATAGCGATAAAATGAACGTGGCAGAATCAGGGCAGGAGAAAGGATAGGTTAAAGAGGAAGGTTGAAAGTCACGTTAATTTTGCGGCTATTTAGTAACTGTCAAGAAAAAAGGATTTTACAGATATGAGCGATCAGAAGTGTTCTTTCATACAAAGTGTTCTCTATTTGGAAATGACACGACAGAATTTTAGATTTTGAAAAAGCGTTTTTTCGCTTCTGACGTTATTGAATCATCGTTCCGCAACGAATATCCAGTCTCAACTCCTTTTTCATTATTGCGTTATTACCACTGATATCTTGGTGGGACTCGAGATTCAACTCGCGGTCATGCTCATCGAGAACCCTCTGCTTTAGGTACAATTCGATAGTCAGATTCTCCCTCGAAATCGTAATTGATTGCATTCCGATAGAGACGCATGTCTCATGCAGAGTATCAGAGGTTTTCTGCTCGTTTTGATATTGACCGAGTGTCTGTGTCGGAAATTGCTAATGTGACTCAAACTTGAGTTCTACTTATCGTATCGTGTGTATTATCGACGTAGGTATTCACACAACACACGTACACCCGACGCAGTTGTAATACGCAAATTAACGATTTTGTTTTGCATATTAACACAACAACTATTGTAATGTATAAAACGTGTTTATTCTAGATTTTTCTCCGGGTAATTATCATGTACGAATAATTTTCTTCCCCTCCTCCCCCCCCCCTCAGTCGGAGCTTCTCCGACTTTTTCTTTATGAATGTTAACGTTACGTAGATCCCACTAGATATTCTCTTTACTTAAAAAACCAAAGGATAAGTATTAAGTTAAAATTAATTTTTTATTGCGGTTTATACTGACATTGTACTCTTCCTTGCTTTTTTCTCGTTTCCAACGTAAAAAAGAAATACATGTACACACACATACACACATTGCGCGTGTAATAACATGTGCGAGATCGTCCACGACTTGTTGTGTTCTTACATTTCTCCGACAAATATATACATAAATATATATATATATATATATATATATATATATATATATATATATATATATATATATATATATATATCTATATATCTCCCTGTTTAAAAAATACAGCGAAGCATTACGAAATGTGTATGATTTTTCCAGTCGGACACATTCCGTGAGGATTTTGCGCGATTACGATCGGGCATTACATTTGGAATATATATCTATATAGGCATATATAAATAAATACATAGAAGTGTAGAACGTGTATATATATACGTCTATATGAAGTTACAGTTCCAGGAGTAACTTGACTGACGACGCTACGAATTTTGATTGTGCCAGAAAATATATATTGTTGGTAGTCGCAGGCGAGATTTATATTAGATCTCCGGTAAGCGTTGTAGGATGTATATTCAGACTTCCGCTCGCCTGTTAAATAAAATGATCGTAGATCATGTTACCTTTCATTTCTTGTAAGCGATGTAGCAGAGAGTTTCTTGTTTTTGTACTATATTCGCACTTGGATTGCGCTTGAATGTAAATTGTTCCGGTCGACTGTTGAAGATCTTAACGCCACTTTTAAGGTACACGAAAGATTGTCCTCACACTTAGCGATTAGCATGTACAAGATATCGTTACACAATTCAAAGGATGCATATTTTTCATAGGAAACCAATGATCTGTGGAGATATGTGAATGCGAAGAAACATTATCTGTAGGATGATTCTTTTTCATAGATTTTCGGTCTGATTCGATATATGTAGTACATAGTACGCAATTCTAACAGGAAAGTAGATTCTTCGAGATGTACATTATGCTTCCTACAGTTAAGACTGAAACTAATATTGCGTATAAGGCGTATATATATCAAATCTAGAACAATCTCTTTCTCACACATACACAGACGTATACTGAGTCTGTACGTGCGACTATGTGTCTTAAATATTTTTTTTCTGTAAGAATACTTGCGCGAAAGAAAAATAAAGTGTGCCAACGCAATTTTAAGGTAAACGCGGTCGTTTTTATGATCGTCCAACACGACAGTTTCTTTTATAATTTTAAATGTACGGAACACTGTGTGTGTGATTGGAGGGGGAAATCTAGAGATTTATTTATATTATTTATATATACGCTACGAGAATAAGAAAGAATTGTAAAGTAATATTTATTATTTGTTGCACATGTGTTGTAAATTTAAGTTTCCATTGTGAAAAAAATATCGTTACATATTTTCCAATGCACACACAATCGTTTTTTAGAAAGAGAAAGTGTTTTGTAGAAAGAAAAATAAATTACTTCCAAATAAGATTAGCCCGTTGGCACTTTAATGAGTCGTATTAAATACCAATTGATTAAATTAACGTTTTATTTTTTAAATGTTTTCAAGAAACATGTCTCAGTGCTCTTAGTCTAATAAATGATGCTTAACAACTATGATTAACAACAATCTTTGTCATTATTTGAGGATAAGTACAAGAACTTATAATTATAGAAAATAACTATTAAAAATCATAATTTATTTATCTTGCTATATTATGTTTTAATATCTGTAATATATGCAGAATTTTTTAGGCAACAGTATAAGATAATCATTTACTCCGTAAGAAAAACGGGTTAATAATATGTACTTCTTTTCGCGCAAAAATAATGGGCCTAAAAATCTGTTGGGTATTTTTATAGATCCCGCCATTTATAATAGCAGGACACAACGGTTGCGCATATAGGGACGTCTACATTGGAAGTAAACAGTAAGAAGTAGGAAGTAAGAATAAGAAATTGACCAATCATAGTTAATTATTCTTCTCACATTCGACTGTGGTTGGTCAATTTCTTACTCTTATTTCCTACTTCTTGCTATTTACTTCCAATGTAGACGTCTCTTTATGTGTTTTATAATTTTCTACTGAATGATACTAAACTCACATCGCGATACGTTAAGGCCCTTACACAATGCCAAGCTACAGGCAATAGAAATAGGCATTGGGCGTGTTCAGCGGAAAAAGCGCTCAGTGAGTAATTAGCGATTATTGGTTCTTAATGTTAGATTCTTAAATCTAGACCAATTACATTGACGAATTGCTCAACTGTTGTGCAACTGTTGAGTTCGCTGAACGCACCCATTGACTGCGTTCAACAGAGAAAGCTGCTTTGAAACTGTGGTGAACTGATTGGAATATGCTCTTGGATTCAACCAAAATTAAGAGCATACTCCAATCAGATTCATGAATTTTACACAGTTGCAAAGCAGCTTTCTCTGCTGAACGCAGCCAATAGCTAATAGGAACAGGGAATAGAAATAATTGACCAATCCGAATTCCTACTCCCTGTTCCTATTGCTATAAACATATTTGACCAATACATTTTTTTATATTGTATTCAAATCAGTTCAATAATTCGTTTCTTCCTAGATCTAATGAGTAAAATGTTTGTAAGATGCCGAACTTATTATATCTAGAAAAAGTAATATGCAAGAACCAATTATAGGTTCACGTTGTTAACTTTTTTATACTTTTACACTCTTAACGCCCGTTGCACACTGGACTTCTCTTTAAGCCCGTATCAGACTACGGATTAAGATTGAGATTGAATTGAAAATTGGCCAATCAGAGCAAAGTTCACCAAACTTAAGCTTAGTGAATTTTGCTCTGATTGGCTAAATTTCAATTGAATTCAATCCTAATCTATAGTCTGATACGGGCTTTAGAAAGAAGAGCTCTCATTGGATTTGTTCATCGTTTGGTGTGCAACAAACATTAGGTTTGTTCGAGTTGATTGTACTATTCACACTTTTACACCTAATGCCCGTTGCACACTAGTGCACCTCATACAATACAAATTTTCCAAAATACGTTCTGAAGATGCTTTTAGGACGAAGGGATGTTATCAGAATATTTTTAGGACATCCTTTGAAGATGTGAGCTGTCTGAAAATAGCTAATATCCAATAAGTTTATTTGCATTAATTGAACTTTTTACACTTTCACACTTAGTGCACATTAATTCTTTAGAGGTTCTAAAAATGACGTCATGTTTTCCGTTCGTGTTACGAGTGTAATTGCAATTTTAATACACTTTTTACACTTGATCCCAAGCAAGAGTGAAAAGTGTATCAGAATTGTATTTACACTCGTAACACGAACGGAAAACATGACGCCATTTTTAGAACCTCTAAAGAATTAATGTGCACTAAGTGTGAAAGTGTAAAACATTCAATTAATGTGAATAAATTTATTGGATATTAGCTATTTTCAGACAATTCACACTTTCAAAGGACGTCCTAAGAGTATTCTGATGACGTCCCTCCGTCCTGAAAACGTCTTCAGAATGTATTTTTGAAAATTTGTGTTGTTTGGAGTGCACTAGTGTGCAACGGGCATTAGGTGTAAAAGTGTGAAAAGTACAAGCAACTTGAACAAGGTGCAAAAGTGCAATATATTTTGGCGCTACACGCTTTAATATTCGAACCGTTTCTGTTTCGTCAATTTTGTTGTATTCTTCTTAAAATTTTACAGAAATATTCTCAACTACATATATATTTTATATGGGAACATAAAATAAAAAAAAACGATAAAGAAATTTTTTAAAGCGATTCTTCTTTTCATTTTTAATTGAGTTTTTATAAATTGAAAAATTATTTTTATTTAAGATATGTTAAGTACATTTTAAAAAGCTTTCTACTCATTGTTTAATGATTGTTATAGATCAATTCATTAATTCTCTATAGACATTCAAAGCAGGAAGCATTTTTGCTACATGATCGCTCATAGAGAGTAAGAGAATTAATATACAATAATTATCAAAGGTGATTAATAGACAATTCGTTTAAGTAGGTTTAAAGTTTCCTTTTTAAGATGTATTTATTATTTTAGTACAAGTAGAAGAATTCGTCCCGAAGTAGACCTAGTGGGGTAGCTTTGAAAAAATGGTGATACGAGAGAAACGTGCGGAGTTTGGTTCGATAAGTGTTATATGGAAGGACTTCGACATGATGTCGGCTCAGTTAAATTTCATTTTTCTCAGTTGTTTAGCGACATTGTTGGTTAACTGTGTCGCTCAAGATATTTTAGGATGTGGCGGATTTTTGAAGAGCCATGCCGATATCGATTTTACAAAGGTGTATGTCAAACTGTGAGTGTTCTTCTTTCCGTAGAGGTTAACAGACATCCCTGCATTATGCAGTTGATATACTAATTAAATTGTCTAATCGTGAAATAAATTTTGCAGATACACAAAAACTGGCAGTTTGAAAGATCAGACAGAATGTGCACCTAACAACGGCTATTACTTTCTTCCTCTCTATGACAAAGGGGAGTACATATTAAAAGTAAGCTGAAAATGTGCTTTATCATTTATAGTATCACATGAATTAAGTACTAACATACTGGCAATTATGCTGACACTTGAGATATGTGAAATTTGTCAATCTAGTATGACTATTATTTTAGAATTTATCTTTTAATATAATTGTATTGTAGAGATTTTATTTAATTTTAATTAGCAAAGGATAAATGTTTAAATAAAATGATTAGATAATGTTTAGATAAAATGATCTTTGAACGATAGACGTTACTTAAACAATAGAGAAAGAGAGATGTTACTGTGTAATATTTTATATGTATTCTATATTTTTAATACTATTTTTATTATATTTTTTTAGGTAGATCCTCCTAGAGGTTGGAGCTTTGAGCCTACAGAAGTAGCATTAAATGTAGATGGTGTCACGGATGATTGTAGTCAAGGAAAAGATGTTAACTTTACATTCAAAGGATTCGGTATTACAGGACGTGTGAGTGGCAATTTTCTTTTTGCATCACTAATATGTTTATCTCAAGCATAACATATGTTCATTTGTGACTAATTTTATTAAAAAAATATATGTAAAGCAGAATACACACACACAAAGAAGTTTTTGAATTAATATAAATTATCTTATATTTCAGGTAATTAGTTTAGGTACTGATTTTGGCCCTAAAGGAATTACTATCTCCTTATACATGGACAGTAATAAGCAAGTACCAGTTAGATCAACAGTCACAACAGATGGTGGCATATTTTACTTTACTCCCATTCAGCCTGGAAAGTATGTTCTCGTTGCATCTCACCCAAAGTAAGTATACATAAATAACATTTAATAATTAATATATTGTTCTATATATATACACACATACATAAATCCATACACTTATATGTTATATTTTAAAACCATGATATTGATTATTCTTTTTAGATGGATAATAAGTAAAAGTACAGTTGAAGTGACTGTACAAGAAGGAAATACTGAAGTCCTAGATGGTAGTCTAGTAGTGTCTGGATATGATGTCAGTGGCAAAGTTACCAGCGAGAATGAGCCAGTGATTGGTGTATCCTTCATCCTTTTTGGTGTAAGATTACTCCCTGTTAATGTTATCCATTATCAACATATAGTTATTAGTTGATACTTTTAAGCTTAAATCTAAAAAAAAAACTATCAGTGAGCATTATAGAGGACGATATATTTCATTTTTATAGAAAGGCGTTGTAAGCAATTGCGATACAACACCTGTGAGCAAGGACTTCGAGAACAAGAAGCCGCTTTGTCACGCCACCTCAGACCACAGCGGGAGATTTGTGTTTCCCAGCTTGTCACCGGGCGAATACAAGCTCATACCCCATTACGCCGGTGCCCAGACGAAGTTCGATGTTCAGCCGCAGGAACTATCGTTCAAAGTCAGCCACAGCAGTATTGTTCTCGCGCAGGACTTCAAGGTAACCGGCTTCACGGTCAGCGGGCTTGTCCTTAGCTTTACGAACGGAAGCCCCCTGCCAGGAGCGGAAATATTCTTGTCGCAAAAGAAAGTCGCGGTCACAGACAAGAACGGAAAATATGTATTGGATAATATGAAAGCCGGCCAATATACGCTCAGAGCAGAATCTGGTAAGCAAGATTCTGTGAAATACAAAATAAGATAATTCGCCGTAGACATTAGTAAAAATTAATATTCGACGAATTTTTCGTTCTAGCAAACGTGCAATTCAGTGAAAAGACCGTAAGGATATCTCCGAGCTCGCCCGAATTCCCGGTGTTGGTACCTTCGGCGTATAAAGTGTCGGGCAAAGTAATGCTGTCGGCGAAGGGAACGCTACACTTCCGCAAACTGTCCATTCAGAACACCGTCGGCACATTTTACAAGGAACTCGACACTAACGAGAAGACTGGAGAATTTTCGGTGTACCTTGCACCGGATAAGTATCAACTGAGCGTTATTGTAAGCACAGAGGAAAAGGCCAAGGGCTTGCAGTGAGTATAAAACTATATAATGCTGATTTAAAAATATAATACATCTTGTAATAATACAAACTATATTTGTGAAAAAACGTATTATACTTTTTCAGATTCTTCCCGCTGCAGCAGACGATTGACGTGACGTCCCAACCGATCACCAATGTCAACTTTTTGCAACTGAAAGCTACGTTAATGGGCACGGTGAATTGCTTGCAAGGAACAGATTGCAGTCAAGCCTCTGTCACTTTAAAGATACTGAACGGAGTAATGATAAAAACGATGCAAGCGAAAGGTGAGCTGACTCGATTTCCTATCAACATTGATTCTATACATATATATGTCTTATAATAGTGTTGTAATCTCAGCTGCAATAACAGATACAGTTTTAGAAAAGAAAAATAATGTATTCGATTGTAGAAAACTTAACAAATGACTTCTATTCGACGATAAATTTAAGTGATAACGGCTACTTGACTTTAAGTACTTGATTAAATGCGTAAAGTGCTCTATTGTACCTGTTATTGCAGTAATATCTCTCAAATTCGAACACGATACCACTGTCTCTGTCTGTGAAGTCGTTTTCCATTACGCAGACGGCCAGTACCAATTCACGGACGTGTTGCCTGGTCATTACGAAGTGCTGATCGACAACGACGTGTTCTGCTGGGAAAACCCGAGTTATATGGTCTCGGTAACGTCGGAACGTGCCGAGGTGCCGTCGTTCAAGCAAACTGGTTTCTCTATTACTTTCATATCTTCTCACGACACAGCCGTGGAGTACTCTGAGCCCAACAGCACGAAACTGATAACTTTGGCATTGAACAAAGGCAGCACGAGACATTGTGTGCCGAAATCAGGAACATATACTTTCGTCCCGAAGGGCTGCCACATGTACGACAAGACCTCTTATACGTGGGATACGAACGATCTCTCGCCAATTTTGCTGCACTCCACCGAGCACACTCACAGAGGCAGTATCATAACTTCGACTGCGCAGAACGATCTCAAGATCAAAATCGAAGACGCAAACAATATCACCACGTAAGTAACGAATTTATCTTCATGTATTTCTTCTTGAGCTCTCGTTATAGAATTAGTTTGAATTAATTGGACCTAATTTTAATTTCTGATTTTTTCTGAGCAGTCTTAAGTATTTGTAAAAATTTCATGACTTTTATTCTTTCTTGAGAAAAAATAAAATCTTTTTCTTCTCTAGAAAAGAATAAATTTTTTTTCTCAAAATACAAACTTTTTGCACTTATTTTTCTGTTAATAAAATAAATTAATATCATTTAATTAATACCACAATGTTATGCTGAAAGTTAATTATATTTAAATGATATATCATTGTCGAGTATATCTTACATATTTTTTTTCTATTAATCTGTTTAAAGCAAGATTGAATCATCGAAGCATGTGACGAAAGACGGCATGTACAAATATGAGTTTGAGTTTAAGGCGAAAACAGACAATATGTATACTATCACTCCTCTGTCGGACATTTTGTTGTTCAATCCGCCGTCTTTAAAAGTCATTGGCGTGAACGAGTGTCATGATGACATCGCGAGTTTCGTCGGCGATTTAGGAAAGGTAGAAAATCATCGATTGCATTGAATATACAGCAAAGTTCTACATTGTTTCGTTCAAGCACAATATTTGTTCAGATTATAGCAGGAGAAATCGTGCCACCTTTGGAAGGTGTGACGATACAGATCTTCGGTAAGGATAAGGAGTTGCCGATTCACACATTAGTTACGGAAAAGAACGGTGTTTACAGCGTCGGACCTCTGGACGGGAAGATCGAATATAGGTATGTCAGCGTGATTTTTTCTGCCATGTATCACCATGATTAAATTAATTATCGTGAACCATCAGTGTTACAGCTGAAAAGGAGGGTTTCGTGATCACCGAGACCGATAAGAAAGGAGTGTTCTGGGCACACAAATTAGCCGAGATTATTGTTGAAGTTTCCGACCGCGCTGATAGTTCCTTGTTACAGGTAAAATTTATTCATAATTGTGTAAAATATTAAATAAGAAAGTGATTTGTATTTACACTTGTTTTTGTACCTCTCAGGGTGTGCTGCTTTCTTTGTCTGGCGGCCAAAGTTACCGCAAGAACAGTATAACCGGCGAGGGCGGCAAATTTGTGTTCAACTCGCTATCTCCGGGCGAGTACTATCTTCGGCCGATGATGAAGGAGTATCGCTTCGATCCACCGTCAAAGATAATCAACGTTGAAGAGGGAGAAACCGTGAAAGTGTACTTGTTCGGTAACAGAGTTGCATACAGCGCTTACGGTTCTGTGACTTCCTTAAACGGAGAACCTGAAGTAGGTGTGTTGGTCGAGGTTCAGGGTCAAGGGGACTGCTCCAATCTGCAGGAGGAAGCCACGACCGAAGAGAACGGTAATTTCCGGATCCGCGGTCTTCAACCCACGGTGAGAGCAATCTGCTTCTCTGCAATAATGTAGCATTAGCAATGTAGAGTTTGTCGACCGTCTCTTGCGGAGTTGATTGACTTTGTCTATATTAAATTTTAAATGTTATTTTTATATTCTTTTTAAGACTATATGAATCTATCTTTTTTTATATTTATATCTTATGTATGTTTCTACATATTTATCTTAAATCTATATACATTCTTACATACATACAAGGTTTTATGTATATTCTTATAATATTATTTATTTTACAGTGTACCTACGTATTTCGTCTGAAACCAAACGTGGAGGTCAACGCACACATAAAGCGCACGAGTCCTAGTTCACAGTTGGTGCAGCCGGTGAGCGATGTTCATGATCTGCGTCTGATTGCCTTCCATCCGATCTCACGCACAGACGTCGCGGTGCACGTAACGTCCGCCCAGCCAGAGCACTATCGCACGATCAAAGTGAAGCTCTGTACGGACGACGCGCCTGATTCTCCGATACATATTTCTAAGCTGGACGCGCAGCAGACCGGCAAGATTGCTAGCAGCTACAATGCCGGTTTCCTCGTTCACTTTCCGCCGCTCCAGACCGATAGCCGCAGGTACTTTGTACAGCTGGAGTCCTCTTTGTCGCAATCTGTACACAAATACTACACCGCGCCGGTGTACTTCGAGGCGAACTCGTCATTCAAGTACGTGAAGTTGGCGTTCAATGCGGAGCGCAAGGTCGACCAAGCCGACATGAATCAGACGTCGGTGGTCGCGCTGCCGTTCATCGCATTAGTTGCGCTAGCGTTTTTCAATCGCGAGACCCTGTGGACCTGGCTGAACGCGCTAGTCGACAAGCGCTCCAAGCCCGCGCCGAGCTCGAGAGCGCCCGTTCAAGCCATCCCCATCGACCCTAGAGCGGACGACATTATAGTTGAGCAAATAATGAACATTAACAAAAGAAAGACAAAGCCGCGAAAGGCATAAATTGTGTTGTGTCACTCAACACTGTCAGCGACGATCGTTTTCTTTGCATATTAAACATCATACGCTGTGATCTTGAACGAAAAAGATTAACGCCAAGATTTCGTACAGAGAGAAATCTTACGCTGGTTGGTATGTTTTATATGCCTAATCGCCACGATATATTTGTCATAGCGATTGCATGCAACGTCATCAAGACGATCGTCGTCTCGATATACTTAGTGTACTCCGAACTGTTATACGTGGATATTTATACCTGGATTGTACAGATTTACATCGCGGGATCGCATCGCGTTCCGCTATATAGACATGGTTGTCTTTTGTGGAATTGATTTGTTAGTACCTAGGAACCTTGTTAACGTGTGATATTTTAACACGAGACTTCATGACGTAACGTGAAACGCAAGTTTAATGCGCAATATGTCCACGATCAAAATGATCGTTTGATACGTAAGTCGTTACGATTTTCGGATTATTTAAAGTAAGATGTATATACGAAGAAATTGCTGTATTGTATAATATTCATGAGCCTCTGTTATTAAAGATTCTTACTTTCAAGTGATCGCTTCGATACTCACTTTGCGAGAGCGAACATTCTTATCCTATTTGACGGCTAACTTAAAAACAAGAATTGTAGGACATACGTATCATGATTGTCAAGTGCTTTATTTTCTCAACGGAGATTTATAAATGATATTCGAAGCTCTTACTAATGCTGTGCACATCGTCGGCATTTCAGATGACGAAGTACGCCTGGAAAAATAATGCGAACAAGACATTAAATGCAACAAAATCTTTCTGCAACATAAAGAGTCGTTATGCATAATATTCTAAATTGAATCCGTATCACGAAATGCTCATTCAAAATTTGCTTTTAACATACCACAGGATTCGCCTTGTGCAAGCACTTGTTCAAGTTGTAAGCTTTTTCGCAATTATCGCTTCCTTCTGAAAACCAAACCGAGAAGATCATGCTATCAGACGTTAATTCGAAAGATGCACAATCGACGAAATAGTGAAGATACATTATTGTTATTGTAGGCTACTTGCCTATGTTAAGACACTCCTCGAACATGTCATTTGCGATCTTCTTATAAGGCGTCGGTATCATCTTCAGCAAGAGCTTGAAGTTGATTTTGCCGTCTTTCTTCATCTGGAAAGAGGAAAGTCAGAGTTTCGGCGATCTGTAATTGTTACTACGTCTATCTTTGTAACTTTGTTTCGTTTACCAGTCCCGCCTTCTCTACTACGCATTTGAAGTAACAAGCCAGATTATTATTGTCTGGAAATTCACCTAGTTCCGCTTGCTCTAGCATACCTGTGATTAGAATCAAATGATTAATGGATTCATTACTAACTATAGAATATGGCATATGAAATAATACAAGCGGCTATTTTTTATTTGTGTTTATATATTAAATAATTCTTTTAATCTATTATATCGATGAAATAAAAGTACTAATACCCAGACACGTGCCTAATCCTGAACATTCGTATTGATTTTTAGATACGAATATATTCAAACTTTCAATACACAATATATATACATGTATATATACATACTATGTTAAAAGTTTAAATATTTGTATTTAAAAACCAAAAATTTTTTAGGTACGTGTCCAGGCACTGGTGCTTTTACACTGAAAAAAAATTTACTAGAAGAAATTTAAAAAAACGTTTGTTTAGATAGTACTGTGAAGATATTAAATTAATTATTTTCTAAAATTAAATAAAGAAGTTTTAAATATAAATTTGTTTCTCTAATTTTATATAAAATAATTACTTAATTTAAACAAATATCTTCATAGTACTATCCAAACAAACGTTTGGAAATTTAGTAAATTTTTTCTCAGTGTACCTTACTGATTCTCGTGATTAAATTTTGGAAACGTACTGACTGTTACATCGCTGTTTTCAGCGAGGCATTTTTTCCGTATCCCGGTTTTTTCGCCTAATTTTCTCATATCATCGTGGAGAAGAGTATAATCAATATCCTATAAAAAATATTCTTACAAGAGGGTTGGAACAGAGCGGATAAGAATTGTTAGATTAATTCGAGCTGTTAGCCCTACATCTCACCATTTTACATAAAATCAGAAATACAATGTATAGTCAAAGCATACTCACGTCGCTGAAGACGACAACGAGCTGTGTGATGATCAAAGAGACGTAGATGAGGACCAGTTCGCTTCTTCCCATCTCGTATGTAGCATGTATTGTCTTTTAAGGTGTAGCAAAAAATGTTTGCTCGTCTACATAAGATTACTAAGTGGCAGCCGCGCGGGATCGACGAGAATTTATGCAAGTTTGAATATGCGAGGGAGTGGGAGATAATAATTAGTTAGTGAGGAGTACACTCCCTCGAAATCAATCTTCGACGAATTACACGACGCGTTAAGAAGTCAAATACGCCGGCAAACGAGACACTGGAGATCTGCAGCGCGAATTTTCTAAACTCTGCATTTTTATGCATTTATAAAAGTCTTTTATGAAGAAAGATCTCGTAAAAAATTCAACAGTGTTTGTTGAAATTTTTTTCGTTGAAAATTTTGACAGCTCAAAATTTGTTAAAATATTCAACAAAATTCAAAGTTCGTCCAAAATTTTAACACAATCGAGCTTTCGTATCGAATAATTCGCACATTCTCAGATTACACCTCGTAAATTCTCGTTGGAGAGAAGATTCGGCGGGATCAAGCATGATCGATGTTGTTTAAAATGCCAGGAAGATTTACATTTGAGTGTGTAATTCGCATACATTACAGTAACGCACGCGAGAAGCGTGACGGTAAACACACGCGGTAATTGTAACTTACAAACATGCAAAGTATGTCCGATGCTCTGGCTGAATAATTAACGGTCACACAATGATCTCTTCCTGGTTCGTCGCCAGGTGGCAATTTCGTTATTTTGAACGTTGCGCTCGACGTTTGTATGAAGCAACCATAGTGCATACTATTGCCGCGAAATGAGACGTTCGCTTTCTGATTACAGCCGCGGTAATTCCATGTGTTATACAACCTCACGTCGTGAGATTCCGTGCAATCGATTCCGCGACAATTAAATCGTCGTCATCGTCGTCGCGAGATCTGTCGCAATTTTTTATATCAGTTGAAGCTCGCCAAGTTACTCGAAATTTCTTTTTGCTTAAAAGCATTTATGATTGCACTACGAGATGGGAAGGGACGAGTTGGTCCTCATCTACGTCTCTTTGATCACAGCAAGGTTGCTTTGGTCACACAACTCGTTGTCGTCTTCAGCGAAGTAAGTATGCTTTGACTATACATCGTATTTCTGATTTTATGTAAAATGCTGAGATACAGAGCTAACAACTTGAATTAATCTGACAATTTTTATCCGTTCTGTTTCGATCCTCTTCTAAGAATATTTTTTGTAGGACATTAATTATACTACCCTTCACGATGAAGAAATTGGCCGAAAAAAGCGAGTTACGGAAAAAGTGCCTCGCTGAAATCGGTGACATAACAGTATGTTTCCAAAATATCAATTTAATCGCGAAAATCGGTAAGATAAAAGCACCAGTGCCTGGGTGCAAAAGGTTTATCAAATAAAATAGAAAATAGAAGAAGTATCCAATTTCAAGGAATTAATAATTTTTACGAATAAAATGAACGACTCGATACTTGTATCACGGAAAAAAATTATTTGCTGCAGCAGCAAACTAATTTGCTATAAATGTACAGTTAAATATAATTCGCTATGTTAGCTATTTTTTCTTTGCTGCAGGAATCTATTTTCTTTCTATGATAACAAGAAAATCTGACAACTAAATATAATTTACTGCTTTAGCTACTTTTTTGTTGCAGGAGCAGATTTTCTTGTTATCATAACAAGGAAATTGGTTTTTGCAGCAAAGAAAAAGTGACTAACGAAGCAAATTATGTTTAGTTGTCCATATGTAGCAGATCTTCTCTTATGGAAAAAAACTACAAGAATACGAAAAAACTACTGATTGCTAGTAAAAAATTGCTATTAAAAAATTGTAATTCTTCAACAGTATGCCAGTAATTTTTTCGTATTCCTATAGTTTTTTTCCGTAAGAATTTTTTGTAGATATCTAATCTTTTGCACCAACTTAATATCTGTAACCGCGATAACATAAACTTTTAAAAGACGTCAAGATATTTTAGGAATGTCTGAATAAATAAGATGTCTTTTAGATATTTTCTAAAAGTTTATGTTATCCGGAAAGCTTCGCTTATATCACCGAACAGGTTCGCATGACGTCGCCTACATCGGAACGCCCGCTCAATGTCGGGGCTTCTCTACTGGATGTGAACGCGCGCAAGCACCATGCCGCGATCTCCGCCGTGATCGTCACAAAAGACTCGTTGACGAATGAACGTTTCAAGTGTATTATAGCCGTAGACTCCTCCTTTCATTGCACTCGATCAAGCGTGACCTCAGCCGCCAATTGGAGCGTTCTACTACCGCAATCTGCAGTATCAAACCTGGCCTCATCGACGAGAGAACGCGTTTATCCAATATCTATGATAGTTATTTATAGTCGATTGGTATCTTTGGCCCCTGGAGGAAGCGATTGACTCTGGAGTCTCGTCGAACTTAAAATATATCGTCAAACGCTCTCCCTACTCGACGAACGCTTCGGCAGATTCTATAGAAATGAAAAGAGTAAATAGAAATTACAAGAATAAAAAAATAATTACTAATTAAAAAAGAAAATTATAAGAAAAGTCTCAAAATTGCGCTATTAAGAAATGCCTAGATAACATAGATAATTAAAAAAGAATTCAGTCGTATGTCACCAATTCTGAGTTCACATTTTCAGATGCAAAAATAATTCTTCAGAGTTCAATTCAGTAAAAAGAATTCTTTTTGCATCTAGTAATTAATTTAGAATTGGTAACATACGACAGAATTCTTTTTGAATTCTTTGTGCTATCTGGGTGGATATTAACAGTTAATGATAGAATTTATAAGAGGATATCTTGGATTTGCGTTTCTGTTGGGAGGTGGAATGTTTCGATTCATGCGTTTTGTTTTGAATCGACGACACGAACAGGACAATCCGGGATCGATTAGATTATTGAGCCCTTTATTTTATCACATATATATCAAGACGTATAATCAATACATATAACCAGTATATGTAACCAAACAATCTATATGAAACTGACACCAATATATGTAATCGACACGTCTAGAAGGTCTGTTCTATTTACTGAACCAGGCTGTACTCTCTACTTAAAAAATGAGAAATATATGATAGAACGTTGAAAGGAAAAGGAACAAAGTTCCAATACAACACTAGTTCAGCTAAGAAGAACAGGCCTAGAGATAGCAACTGCGCTGCCATGCGATTACGGCGCGTGGCAGCGCAATTAGATGTTCAAAGTGTAAAAATCTCAACACATTCGGCGAAATTGTATCTTGAGCACTTTGTCTTTGGTCTTCCCTCATTGCTCTCCCTCCTGCGACTCGTTAGAATAGATAGTAAGTCTGAAACAATGAGAATCGATTTCGCAATTAAGATAACAGAAGAGCGCAAATGTGGGATAATTCGTTTCTCCGTTATCGAGCCAACAATTTCAAATTACTCACCCTCGGGGATAGCTCCGCGTAGCACTTGTTGAACGTGTACGCGTACTCGCAGTTGTCACCCTTCGCTGTGAACGAGGAAATCATTTTCGCGATTAGCGATCGTCCCGTGCAACGCAAAACGACGGATCGTGTGTTATCGAAATCAAAGTGAAACGACAACTCAAGTTAAACTTGACAGACGAGAACCAACATATAGAAATGAATTATTAATAGAAGGTTCTCGAACTGAGGAAATTCACGAACCCAAGATTGGGCAAAGCGACAATAACAGTCTCGATGCTGTAGTCTCGCTCTTTCGCGTTTTGTTTCTTCTTTTCTATATTTTGTTCCCAAATAGCATAGAGAATTCAAAAATAATTCAGTCATATGTCACCAATTCTGAGTTCATTTTTAGATATAAAAAGAATTCTTTTCACTGAACTAAACTCTGAAGATTTTTTTGCATCTGACAATGAATTCAGAATTGGTGATATACGACTGAGAATTCTTTTTGAATTCTTTGTGCTATCTGAGTTTTTCTTGTATTCGTCAGGTGAATTTTGTATTTTTCAAACTACCGAAATCAGTTTCTCATCAGCTTTGAGCCCTTCTATCTTTTTGATAAGTTCATTCAAACAGATTACACACACTGAGATTACATCCACTTTTAAGAAAAAAGATAAGAATCACATGTAGCACGGTTGTTGAAGTTTCGAGCACACGCAATCGATCGACGGAATAAACGAAAAAGAGAACGCAGTAGATACCCAAATAGTTACCGATCCCCTTGCACTCGCTGATCGCCTTCTCGACCTCAGCCCTGTAGGCGGGTATTCTCTGGAAGAACGTCAGCATACCGTTCAGACTTAACTCTCTCTTGTCGTCGACCAGGCCGAATTGTTCCCAGAGACAATACATGTAGCACTGAAAGAAATATTAGTCTGAAGCGTTTTGTCTTCTTCCGATCATTCTGTAATTTCTCAAGCGTCATTAGCGCCAGAAAGTTACGGAACACCGCGTGTGGCTGAATCTCGTGCGCATTTCGTCGGCCACTAGTGTTGTATAATACCGGGATAACGATTTGTTTGCAGTCCGACGTAATTGGCAATTCAAGCGACTCGCGCATCGGTACTCACCTTCAATTGACGTGTTTCCGGCCATTGACCGTTTCTTACCGCTTCTATGTCGGCTGAAAGAAGAATTCAGTGCACTCGTTGACGTACTCTGTATACATGCACTTTCCGTGGAAAATTTCCTCGAGTTTTACTCAAGCTTACAAATACTATGCACGATAGGTTGCCAAATGATTTAGACACAATGAACTGGGAGCTCATCAAATTATCAAAATTGATAATCGTTACTGACAGGTTTGCTCAGTAATTATAATATTATAATATTAATTATCATTATTTTTTGTTATTATTAGTATTATTATTTATTATCACACATCTAATATTCTTAATTATATAATTAATCATATTATTAAGAAAATCCATCGGCAATAATCCACTTTCAATTTTGACAGTTTGGTGAACTTTATTGTGTCTAAACTATTTCGTAACTCACTGTGCGCACACTCGACGCGAGATAAATGAATCTGATCACCCGATAATTCTTTTCGCTTTCTCGAAATAAGGCCAAATTATTTTTGTTAATTTAATTTTCCAAGCAAAGTACACTCGATTGTAGAGGATCGGCCACGTAGAATTGCATGCGCGATAGCATAATTAATTAAAACTTCAATCAATAATTCCCAGTCCGCTTGCTCGGGACTTGCGAGCCAAGGGGATGAATAAACTCCGGGCGAATGCGAAATACCTGTGGCTACTCCTGTCTGCGTTTGGCAAGCGTTCACGACACTGGCCGCGGTTGCGATCATCTGGTCGGAAACGAAACTGGGCCGCGTCTGCAAAATAGACGAGATCAGTGTTATTGAAATCAGTGGACAATAATAATCGCGAGGAGGAAGCTACGGCAGTGTATCTTCCTGTCTACAGCTCGGCGAGATCTCACGATCTCGTTAATAAACGAGATATAATTAACAATATTGATTGAAAGGTAATATCGCGGCATCAAACGTCCCTCAAATTAAAATACCGTCATGATACATGAAAGACTTGAATTTTCAACTCTTCGCTTCTCACGCTAAACAGAACGAATACGCGGCAATCAAGATTCCGGAATAGCACAGGAGGCAAACATCGCGCGCTTTATTGAGCGCGCGATCCCCGGCCAGCCGGGACTCGAGAAAGACAACCCCGCTTCGTACCTGTCCATCGATAGTGTCGCTAAAAAACTTGGAACTTCGAGAGACAAATGATAAGATTTAATTTTTCGATCTTGGAAGAACTATTTGAAAAATCATAGGATTGAAAATAAGTTATAACAATGAAGAAAAGTTGTAAGTCGAGTAAATGAATTTTTATCAGCGCCGATTTCGTACTTTTTTGTCAAATAAACTATCTTAGAGGGAACATGTCTCTTTTCCTGTACGATTCATCGAAGTCTCGATTAGATCGAAGGTCACCGCCCCAGTTGACACGTACCCCGCAGGAAACAATGCACGCCTGCAGGAGGAAACCCACGGCGACCGCGAGGAGCCTCATCCTGGTGGTAGTTTTGTACCTCGCCCTTATCCTTCACGACCGTGTACGGATCTCTCTATCTCTGCCGATGCTCAATAGTGATGCTCTCCCTTTGGCGAGGAAAGCTTTCCCGGCTCTTGGACCGACGTGAGGAGTGCACGTCGAGCGCGAGGCGAGGGTGCGACTGAGCGTTGGAGACGAGAGAGAGGCGGCGCGGGTAGCCGGCCGGCCCCGCACGGTCGGTTGGGGGTCGAGACACGGGATGAAGCGGTATGGGGTCCAAGAGACCAAGGGAGAGACAGAGGTGGAAGCTGCGAGCCCTGTCGCGCGCCCTGGAAGCTAATTCGAGAGCAGGTCGCGCGAGCTGCTCTCTTTCTCTTCCGCTCTTTTCCTCTTTCTCCCTCCTTCCCTTCCTTCCACCCTCTCTCTCTCTCTCTCTCTCTCTCTGCTTCTCGCGCATCGTCCTTGTGCTATGTCCTATGCAAACTGTTCGATAATAGACGCGCTTACTCCACTAAAATTTAATTGGACATAGTAGATTTCGTGAGAAGCTTCGCTTTCGCGCAGAGACGCGCTGCACGAGAAAAACCTGAAGGAGAAAAGCAAGATAACATCGAGAGAGGAGATAAATGGAACGATTAAAAAGAACCCGAAGATTGTTATCCAGAGTAATAGTTATATTGTTGAGTGGGAAAATTATAACATTGGTGTAATATTATTGTTATTTAATGTTTACCGAATAAATCTGAATCGCGTCGGATACTTTTCAAATAACATCCGTTCTATATCCTACAAGTCGCTTCAGCGAGAGGAAAATCAAAATTATGAAGAAATGCGTTTCTCTGGCGTGGGGACGATTATTCTCGACGGCTTCTCGCACATCGCGTTTCGTAACAATGTGATCGAAATGTCCTACATCGCATAATACCGGCGCGATGTAGCGTGCTCTTTTCATCGCGCAAAGATAAATTACTGTCTCCTCGGCGTAGGAGCTTTCGATTCTAGGCCAGGTCACACACATAGACAGGCGGATTTGATTGGCGGATGTTACCAGTTTACGATCCGACCCTACGTAATCTCTTCTATCCTCACGACGTCGACACAGATGCGACGGCGGCTCCTCTCTCTCTCTCTCTCTCTCTCTCTCTCTCTCTCTCTCTCTTTTTCTGCGCGTCTCTTTATCTTCGCGCGCAACGTCGGTTTTTTCTAGAATCGTCCCGTAAGGACACTCGTCCGATGCGAATTGAAAAAAATGCGCAAAAGTGCATACAAGTCGCATAGAGAAGTATTCTCACGGAGAAGTTGCGGTTTTACATTTACTCCGTCGAGATCGCCCTTCGATAGATGCGATCTATTTCTATCGTCGCGCGGAGAACGCCGGCAGAATCTTTTCTACTAATCGCGTTGCATCGCTGTTTTGTTTTTTTCCATTTCTATCAATAAAAAACTTATTCGCCTTTCTATAAGAGAGTCGCGCGCCTCGCGTCCACGGTAAAAGTTGAACGCGTTTCGCGAAATAAAAATATTGCAATCAAGAGCTTACAAAAGTGCAAGATCGCGCTCGAAGTAAGACATGGTTTACGTTCCCGATATCCTTTCGGCTGTACTTTCTACGCTAGTTTTCCCTCGCTTCAAATCGCCCGTTTCCTTTTTAAATACGGAGGCAACGCGAAAATGCGCAGCTAAGAACTGCGATTCCCTCACGTGATGCGCGCCGCGCGCGTCGATGCACATCACGTAAAGGTGCAGCTGGCACGTGGGTCACGCGGGGGGCGCGTTTTGTGGGTCAATACAATTCCGGCGGAGGTGCGCGAACGAACCCGAGCGGGGCCCGAGGAGCCAAGCTCCGGGTACAGTTGCTCGTGGAATTATTGACCATCGGCCGCGCGCTTCTTCCAACATCCCGTGCGGTCGTCGACGATTAATCGCATTCAGCCGGCACAATCGAGATCGACCGAAACGCCGCGCGACCGCTCGTGTTCGAATAAACTGCACATTGATAAGATACAATTTAGCATTTTAATACAAAAAAGAAGAAAGAAAACGATGTTCTGTCTCCGAAACGTAATCCTTCCACTGACTGTACTTTTCCCGCGCGTACAGTCCGCGGAATAAGTATTGACTACCTGTACCCGAACAAGTATTGACTGCCGACGTTCACGTCGCGAGCAATCTCTCGGCGACTCAGTGCCATCGCAGGGAGATACTGCAATTGACAGTCGAAGGCGCAACAATCGTCTCGGGAGAGATCGAAACTTGTAAGATGCCATTGGAGATGATGAACCTCTCATTTACATCGATTATCATCGACTGTACCGACATCGGCACAGTACAGTCCGCTGGATTCTAATTGACTACGCGCTCTGAGACTCGCCGGATCTGCGACTCGCGAGAGGATCGAGAAAATTAGGATCCTCGCGAGAGGAGCTCGACGACACGTCTGCGCCGCTTTCCCCGCCGCGGTGCCGGTGTTGCAACGTTATTAACGTCGTCCTCGCACGGTGGAACGCTTTGGACGGGGGACAAAAGAATTTCTACGGACTGTACTCAGCGGCGGCGGCGGTGGCGGCGGCGGCAGTTATATTGACCGCGTCGCGTGTTCTTCGCGCGGTGCGAGCGAGAGACGCGTCTCTTGACGAGAAAGAAGGACTCAACGTGTCGCGTGTGAGCGTGGTGCAGAGATACGAGAGCCGACGCGAAACGACGCGCCGGTTGTGATCGGTCGAGAATCGACCGATGCTTCAACGGTGATCGGCGAATCGTTGCCGCTCCGGTGACGCTCGATGCGCTCGAGCGTTGCGATGTCGACGGCCAGAAAGCGACGACGTTCGCGAGCCAATTGATTCCGTCGCGTGACCAGGTCGGCGAGAACTCCACGTGGACGATCTTCTCCGGGACGTGCTTCTCTCGTCAGGACGCCGGCGAGTGGTCGCGCGCTTCTGTTGGCTTCTCAGTTTCTAATAAAAAAAGTCCCAGCCCGACTGAGGGGCGACGATCGGTCGGGTCTCGCCGTCACGTGGTACGCGTTCTTTCGCGTACGTCACTCGTCGCGTGCAGTTTAAATCTCCGATAAATCGCGCTCTTTGAAACTGCCAACGCCGCGGAAATGGGCAAAACGAGAGGTGTACACGAGACTACTCCAGAACTGAGGAACCGGATGGTTGGAATGTATGAAGCAGGTCTGGGTCTACGGGAAATCGCCGCCGCTGTCAATTGTTCGGTACGTAAAGCCTGAACAGGAACTCCAGTCATACTGAAAAATACGTTTTCAGTTGTTTAACATTTTGTCGGCGATCGAACTAGTCATTACTACGTCGAATAATTCTGTCTTTTTACAAACGTGAAATATAATTTTTGGAATTTAAAATGCAGGTATATTTTGATTCTTTTATGCAATTCTCTGTAATCTCTATTCTTAAGATAATGAAAGATTCGTTGTGCTTTTGTCATTCGTGAATACTTGATATCTCTCCTTCATCATCTTGGAGACAATTGAAATTATAAACGCATAACTTAGTCAAGTCACAGCACTTATCTGATCATATTATAATTTTTTTTAGCAACGTACGGTGAAGAGATGGCTGAACAGATTTGATAAGGAAGGTACTGTGGAGACACGGGAGCGTTGTGGTCGCAAAAGAGCCACTACCGCGGAACAGGATGAGGCGATTATTCGTCTCGCCACTCAAACGCCTATAACAGCGGCCAAGACAGTGCTTCCTGCACTGGGACTTACTTGTTCAGTGGATACTGTGAGAGAGAGGCTGCACAAAGCTGGGATTCATAACTGGAGCCCTTCACGTAAATACATGCAAAGGATTCCGCTAGGGTTGGTACATCTAAACAGAAAATTCACAATTACAGGCTCTTTTGTCCTGAAACTTGGAGTTTTTTGTTTTCTCCTTAGAAATTTAAACTTTTATGACTCTTCGCCACAGTCGTCTTGATTTATAACGTCAGGAGTGAAAAAATATACACTAGAAATCCTTGCAAGGTACGTAGAAATAAAAGGTATCTATAAAATGTCACTTGAAGTCGATCGAGCAGATGCGTAAAATAACCCGACCACTTTTACTTTGTTTTAATAATCAATAAATAACTGTAAGATTAACATGACAAAATTGACGAAATATAGTCTAAAAAGGTAAGTTTTGTGTCACGTTAATTTATTTTACGGTAATTTTTGATTGTTAAAACATAAGGAAATCGTTCGGACTACTTTACGGATGTGCCGGATCAATTGCAAATACAATTTTATAAATATATTTTTCTATTTCATATCTTGCAAGAATTTTTATCGCGTACTTTCTCGCTTCCGACGTCATTAATCGAGTGTTCCACAGTGGAGTTAAGAATCTTGATATCTCGATTGGTTGCGCGTCTGCTCTCCAGCAGTGATGCGGATGGTGCAGCAATCCAGCAAGCAGTTTGGCGGCCAACTGGCACTCAATTGGGCAAAAAGAAGACTCCGAAGGACTCTAGCAAGCCGGAGAAGAACGGTATCACATCTAAGAAGAAAAATCCATCGAAGAAAGTCAAAGCTCGAGACGTATTTGTCGGCGACGGTGCTCCGGCCGACAATCCAAAATCCAATCAGAACGCTGAGCAACAACAGCAGCGGCAACAGCAGCGACAACAGCAACGGCAACAGCAGCAGCAGCAACAACAACAGCAGCAACAACAGCAGCAGCAGGAACAGGAGCAGCAACAGCAGCAGCAACAACAGCAACAACAGCAGCAGATCTTCGTCTTTCCTCAGCAGAATCTTCCTCCACCTCCTCCTGCTCCTCAGGCTGAGATGCAACCACCCACGCAACCTCCGAGCCAGACGGAGTTCGGCAACGCATTAAGCTTGGTGCAACAACCACAGCCCATTTATCAGCACCCGGGATTGAATATTGTACAGAACTGGCCTTTAGATTTAGTGCAAGGCAACCATCATTATTCACAGGTTTGTTTATTACACATAATAGTGAATTCAAAAACTGTTTTTAAATAATATATAAATTATTACATGTAATATATATATTTAGATTATCATTACCTTGCACAGGAGCAACCAAATCCGATACCTCACGATCAACCTCCGCCGCAACAGCAGCTACAGGAGTTGCACACGCAGCAAGAGCAGCATCACGTGCAACAAGTACAACAGGTCCAACAGCACGTACAGGTTCAAGTGCCATTACAACTGCAAAGACAGCCGCATCAGCAAAATGCTCCGTCACACCATCACAATCTCGACCAACCGCGGCTGCAACCAGTGGAACATCAGGTGCAACAGCAGCAGCCGCAACTGCAGTCTAACATATCTAGTCCGGAGACGAGCTCGAACATAGGAACGGAGAACTCGAACACTTGTAGTTCCAATGAAAACAGTCATTCATCCTGCGAAGTGCAGCAGAAAAAGAAGCCGTCGAGGAAAGGCAGAGGCGGAAAGTTTGACACGGAACGATCGAAGAAAAAGAAGAAAGGCGGCAAGGTGAAAGGAACGTTAGAGACCAGCATAGAGATCAGGAATCGCATGATCGGAATGTCCGCGGCCGGGCTGTCCACTTTGTCCATCGCGTTGGCGATTGATAGATCGGTATGTAATGCATCGCTGTCATTTTATACTACGTCAAATTATATATGATTATTATATTATATACATATGTGTGTGTTCCAAACATTTCACTGTCGAAACTCAGTATCGTGTAAATGAATGTGAATTACAAAACACGAGAGTTGTCGCAAGAGATTTACATGGACGTGATTTTAAATTAATCAGGAACGTACTGTTAAAAGATGGCTAGAACGTTGGCATAAGGAAGGCAATGTACAGACGAAGGAAAGAAAAGGTCGACGTCGAATCACCACCAAGGAACAGGATGAAGCCATCGTCGCGATGGCGACGCAGCATCCTCTCACTGCGGCTAAATACGTAGCGCCCGCACTAGGTTTGAAGTGCAGCGTGGATACAATTAGAGAGAGGCTGCACAAAGCCGGAATACACAGCTGGAAGTTGGGAAAGAAACAAGGGTTAGATGAATTATCATAATTACGCCGCTTAATAAATGTAAGGCGTTACTTTGGATTGTCGGAAATTTTTCCTGAAACGATATCGAGTAGCAAGCTCGTCGAGGAATCTACTGTTAAAATTACAATTCTCTAATGCTAAAAAATCACTTTCAGCACGGACAAATGTATGTAATTAATATAATGCTTGCATTTTAGGGAAGGAAATGCAGTGCACACTGTTCACCTGTGGCAGCCGAGCGGGAATCGGCCCAACAAGCCAAAGATCCCCGGAGAAAAGAAGAAAAAGGGCAGTAAGAAACGAAGCGGTGATCAGGCGACAAACCCAAAACGTATGGCACGTAAAAAGAAAACAGATACATCAGCGCTGAAAACGACTCCACCTCCGGCTAATATGTTGCCGGAACCCACGTTGTCGTTCCACAATCCGGGAACTAGTAAGCGTTATGGAGAAACAATACTGCACATGCATTCCATACGTATATTACTTATTTAGAGAAAACTAATCACCTGTAAAATCGCTTTTTAGTGACAAATTACGTCTCCAGTTCGAACATAATACAACCGGTGCACAATGTCAGTGCACCGCCTCCAGCACTACCCCAACCACAACCACCTCCACCACAGCCGATGCAGCCAATGGGTCCAATAATGCAACAAAGGCCGGACTGCAGACTGGTGCCAACTATAGTTTCGCCGGTGTCTGGACCTGGTAACTCCGGAGTCGCCTATCCTTCGTGTATGGTCGGAAACAATAGTCACACCGGTCATATGGAGCAGACGGATCCGATGAACTACGAGCCGTACATCTGGAATGTCTTCTAAACGTCATTAGACATTTCATTGCCTATAAAATTGCCGAGAAATTTTACATCACGATTTACGTGTGGTCTAACTTACACATATGTGAATAGTAGAAAATAACTGTGCAAAAAGAAACTCCGTGACTGTTATATTCAAGAAAAGTTGTGTTAACTTTCTAAAATTTTATGGTCACGACAAAAAATGCAGCATTTAATTGTAATTTGCTGTAACTGGTTAGACAAGTTAAAATTTAAGTAAATTGAACACAAAGATTATACAGCATGTAAATAGAAAATCGTACATGAAGTAGTGAAGACATACATCACGTTTATTTTGCTATGATATATCGTCTCTTTAAATAATATGAAGTCGTAATTTGTATATTGAAAATTGATTTTTATACGGCACGGTCAGACTGCGTTAAATTAAGAGATGTAGCATTTATGTTGTAAATATTATTTCTAATAGCGGAGAAGGAGAGAAAGAAAGAAAGAGAAAGAGAATGGAAAACTGAATATCTTGATATCAAACAGATTCATAATAGAAATCGCGGGTATCTGCTATCAACTATTCTTTATTAATAGTTGTGTAGAATAGAAAATCCAAAAAACTTTTTAGTAAATTCAGTAATAGATCTATTTTCAATATACAGGTACTATTCGATGACTTTTCTTGTGGGCGTATTTGTGAAAATATTATATAAACTTCCGCGAATATATGTATATTCTATATTTAATTATTAAATGAATCTGCTTTGAAACACCATAGTACAAATTGGCATGTTCCAGTTAGAAAGATGTGTAGTGAATTGACTCCGAGCAGGTTGCCAAAGTAGTTCCATTTACAGTATGGAAGAATTGCCTTTTCTACCATACTCTCATATATACACAATTTTCTTAAATTAATGCAGCGTGATGTTACTGCTATAAGACTGTTACTGTTTTATATACATCATATTTTCTAACAGTAGTGTCTGGGTATAAAAATTGTTATCTACATCGGAAGGATTATTTTCTATTACAACAATTAAGAAGTCTTTTCGTTTGAACGCAAAACAGTATTCATACAGCTCGTCCATATACAATTGCCAGTGGTACAAATACAAAATAGCGCACTAGTTACAAGAAAAATATAATATAAAGAAATTCCGTCGGATCCTTTGAATGTACATTTTCATTAATAACCTTAAATTTTGTAACATGTGACAATATCAACGGTACATTATATAATTAATGAAGATGTCTTCAATCATATTCGTTTATCGAAGTGTTCATTGTTTTATATTCGCGCAAGTAAAATGAAAATAATGGTTACTCACTCTGTATTATATAGATTGGTCTCCTTTCAGAATAAAATATCTTTGTATAAAATACAAGGATATCAGTCTCTTGCATGATCACCAACACTAATATAAATAGTTCTACTTCAAAATACTAAGTTTCACTTCCTATCACGTAAGTTTCCAGATTTGCATGATGTTATTTATCACCGCATCGGGATTATTTTTATAGAACATGAAGTATCCTTGAATTTGTGCAGGGCTGACATTTTTCTTATAGGATATAACATTGTCTGCAAATTTTTTAGCAAGCACATCAGGATCTTTGCCTGGTTCTCTGTAAAATCTCAGGAACATTTGTTCAACCTGATTCGCGCTACACCATCCTGGAAAAATAAAATAGCATCGAGATGATTTTTTAATTATCGTTTATATCTATTTTTCTTTTTCTATTATATTTCCATACATACCGATATATTCTTTTACATCGACTCTGCCTGGCCTAACAAGTGCAGGATCTAATCTCTCCAGATAATTAGTTGTCATAAATAATATCCTAGCTTCTGTGGATGCTACGCCGTCCAGGCAATTTAATAAACCACTAAATGTTACTCTGTTTAGGCCTTCGTATGCTGACTTGACTGAAATAAAAAATGACACAAGTTAAAGCAATAGGAATAATCGGTTATTTCATTAATACGCTTCATTTCTGAGATCTTACCTTCCTTGGATTCCTCCCTGCTGGTAAAAGCAGCATCGATATCCTCGAGTAGAATAATAGTTTGCTGCGGAGCTACTGCTAATAAATGGTTCAGTCTGTCGTCCGTTAGACCCCTCTCGGATAAATTCAAAACACAAATGCCGCGCTCCAGTTCACCGGCCAACGCGGTAATATACGACGACTTTCCGCATCCTGGAGGCCCATGCAGCAAATAACCTCGGCGATATGGGATTCCTAAAAAAATAATATAAAAAGAATTGTTTGAAAGGTAACATTGTTAACTCTTAATAAGTAATGAGAGATAGTTCTCCTCTTGCTGACTAAGATAGTAGAAGATGCGAATTTAGATTTCCGACACGATACCTCTTTCACTATACCACGATGGATTATTGATGAATTCCCGACAGTCGTTGATTATTCTCTCGGAGACACCGGTATCCAAAACGACTGATTCCAATGGTCTTCTCTTCTTAGGGTGCCCAAACTGTCGCCATTCACTTCCCATGGCAGTGTACATTATAGTCTTTCCCTCATGTTCCTTCAATGCCATTTGTCTGGCTATATATGGAAAATTTCCTATAATTTTCTGATATTGATGTAATATATTCATAAATATTTGTAATATAAACTCAACCTTCTTCCAAGATATTAAAGTATATGCTCCTGTCTTTGCCAAAGGATGTTAACTGCACTGTTTCCCATGGTACACCCATGTGTAGGTCTAAAGTTTGTTGTTCCCTTGTTCTTTCAACTTTTATCCAACTCCCCTTATATCTGCAAAAATGAAAAGAAATGTTAAAAGAAGCTTATTGAAAAAAGTTTTAACCAGAAAGATCTCACAGAGAATCTCATGGAAAATTCTAATGAAAGATAATAAAGAATAAGATATCTAAAAAAACAAGATATGACAATCTGACCTGAAGAAATGGGTCCCTATGCTGGGAATAAAGTCATATCTAGTTTTCACATGACCAGTTTCTCTCTGTTCAAAACTGGTCTCTACAGAGAGATGTTGTGTCTTGCGAGCACCTTTGTATGTGATCCATTGTAAAAGCCACTGATAACTCTTGTCACGGCATGGTACTTCCAGAGTAATCATATAATGTCGTCTAGAAATAAATAGTTGGTATTAATATCTTTTTTTTATATATGGATACGTGGAGATATGACACATTTATTTGAAACGATACCTAAATAATACAGCTCCAAATTGTGCAGTTTTTCTCAATAAAGCAGCACCAGCTCCAAGACCAAAGAGGCCAAAGCCAGCACCAAAGTATGGATTATCTGACAGAGCGTGTACATAATCAACAATTGTCATGATGCAAATTGATATTGCACACTTGATACAATAACATGAAAGTTTAATACATCTTAAAAATCGATCAGTATTAATTGATCATTTCACTTAGCAATTTATTCACTGAATCTTGCAATTATAATAATCATTGTGTCAGTTATATAAATCGGAATAAAATAGTCATGTTGCAAAGGTAACTATAACCAGAGGTTATGTACCTCAATAATGTCCACTTAATGATGCACACTTAGTAATAATTACAGAAGCATATTTCACAAAAATAATCTATAAAATATTTTATAAAATATTTTCACATATATCACTCTGTTAAAAGATAAAATACTTCGTGAGAAACTTGCATTCAAATACCATGGGACACTTTACCGTTGACGTTCCATATCGACACAATCGATAACAAAGAGCTTCTGTAATTCCGCTTAGCAAAGACGCGAACCCGAGTTGAATTGATTTTTTGCTAAATGTGGAAAGTTAATTAATGTAAAATTTCCCATATCTCAGCGAACACGAATCTTTTCTCAGATTACAGATGATATTATGGTAGAGTTAATGACAAATTAAACTGCAATAAATGTGAAAGACGAATACACATACATATACAATTAATAGACACAAAAAATTAATTTGCAGTCACTATCCTGTTACAAATGATTATATTTCACTTTATGTTACAAAAGGAATCTCTACTACGTATAGTGTACCATCGTTTAATAACGTCAACGCCAGGTACCACGAGCGTGGCTTGAATACGCACTTTGTCTTTTCGTCATTTTTTTTTAATCTTTTTTAGTTTTTTCTTTTAAATATCCCTTTGCAAATAATGTATCACTGACTGAACACCTATTTAACTGCTACGTCCAATCTAATTTAACATGACTGGCTGCGCGCCTCTGTGCTCCGATTAATTAATTCTCAATAAACGCAGAAGAATTACGAAGTTACTATGAACGGCGGCTGGTTCCGGATTTTTTTCTCTTTCTCTGTTCTATGTTAACGATTAATGATCTATACGGCTACGGAGAAAATATAATACGCTCGTTGACGTTCGTATATATCTATATATCTATATATATATATATATATATGCATGTTATAAATCGTTCGCTAATCTCCGCGATGTAATTGGTACGTTTTACATAATGTATGTATAATGCCGTAACGCTAGAAGTGCATTTACAATATGTACAGTTTTCTGGGTCCATGCTCAAGCACGAGGCAAAGCCAAGTCGTTGAAACTCGCTCTCCCTAATTAAAATAACGGGTACAGAGCGATAAGATTACGCCTGAATATCGATTCAGTCTGAATATCTCAGTGTAAATTAATTATTGTTTTATTCATTTACACTGATTTAGACTGAAATTCAGGACACAAATTTATGTAATATTATTGTTTTGCATCATTTTAAGCAGGACTGTATGATAAAGGTTTCTGTTTTTGTTTTCTCTTCTCAAATTAGAGTCAACATATATCAGACTCAAAAGATCTCGCCAGTAATTCATTAATTACATCTTCCTATGCTGATAGGTACTATCCGACATCAAATACCGAACGCTACGTCTATATTAAAGAATTTATCATATAAGTCTATGTAAAGATGTTAAAACCACGTAAAATTACACCTAATTCAGAAAAAAAAACTGATTTGTTTCCAACGGAGTGTCGGGTTAAAATTGAGCTATGTGTGTTCTGCATCAGGATGTATTGAGTAACATGTAATTAATAATGCCTAACAATCGGCACAATATGTTAAAGAATCGATATTGCTCCCAACGAAGTGATTTGATTCAACGGATGTTCGATAATCGCAACGACGACTGCGTAGCTACATTATTTCGCGAATCAAATTATTAATACATGCTCTCTCGTTGAGAGCAAGCTATTCTCGGCGCGCAATAGTATATGTTACATTACCAATTAGCAGCCTTCGACGTTGCTCGTCGACACGCGCGAATTCGCAAAATGATACTAACGACGTCGTCTGGTCGTCGTCTCGATTATCGCCGCCAATACGAAAAGAAATAAGAACGTTATTTCTTAACGTGACATGTGTGTGATGACTGAGTGAACGACAAAGTGTAAAAATATCTCGCGTACAAAGTGCGACATGGACCCGGTCGAAGTGCAATACACGCAAAGTCGTCTTCGGGACGTCTCACACGCATCGCAGATTACATCGAGTTCTCGCTCCGAGTCCTCCTTCTGGACAAAGTCATTCCCCAGCATGCGCGCTACGCTCGATCGATCTCTTAGCCTACGCCATTTACAGCTAATCGACTCGTTACTCGAGTCTCATTTTCTCTTTTTTTTTCTTTTTTAACTCCTAGTCTCACGTATTGTGATCTAAGCACACGACCAACGTCGGGAACATCACCGGGCGGGACGCAATGAGAGTTTTTGTGGAAGCCTTGAGCAAATCTGCCCGTCGTTCCAAGCCTCGTTTACCAATAATTGCAACGGGCAGATCCCGAATATTATTGTTCATAAAGCCAACAACATTCGCCCTTTGTTTCTTTTTTTTTTAATTTGACCTCAAAATCGCTCTTTCTCTTCTTTCTTTCTAGCTTACAAACACACTCTAAGCTTCTTAAACGCGTACTCGACAAGTAATTCGGTACACAAGGATTGAACGCCCTCCGAAACGTCTGAGGCGGTCTCCTCGAAAAATACGATTCACATCAGGAAATTTGGTGAATGGCTCAAATATCAGCCGAGCATTGAAATGATCGGTATAAAAATGTGAAATCATCGAGCGATCTTTATGACGAGACTTATGCGAGAAGTGAGAATTTCAAGGCGCAGAAGAAGAAGAAGAGAATCCTCTTCTCTGGAGGAGCATTCAAGACGACAGTTGACGAGATGGCGTAAATAGAAATACACGGCGCCGACACGCAACTTCTCTTACGAACGCGGAGGAACTTTATGAAGGACGCTAAATGTACGGAAGGAACCGTGTCGGTCCTTCGAAAGGACAGAATATCTTTGGCAGAAGTTGTCGAAGCTGTGCGCCTCCGCGACTGGACGACGCGCTAATCGTAATTCGCCAATCTGCGACAACGAATTTCAGAGACTGTGCGTCATCATCGTGATCCTTCGCAAAGTCGATCAACAAAAGCAATGCATTTAACTAATCTCAACGAGCGTAGAAATTGCACAATTCGTCTCATCGTGACGAAGTAATCTTATAGTTTTCAAAAATCTATCGGAACGCCATTCGATTCTTCACGCTTACGAACGTTATCATCGAATGTTGACAACTACGCGCAATCTCTGAATTACAATTATTCGCTATCGTCGCCGCTGTTAATTATAATGAAGATTTATCCTCCGACTTATTTCTGATGTCGGCGTCTCCAGTCGCGTCGAGCGGCGCGGACGGCTAGGTAAAAGTCGAGGACGAAGTTTCTCGTGAAAAATACGTGAGGATAGCTCCTTGAATCAACGGAAGAATCTTTCATTGCCCGGCTCGTTCCCGACGTTGGTACGAGGCGAAAAGGGAAGGGACGGTGGTCTGAGACTGGCTCGGTTTGTGGACACAAATTAGCTCGACCTGTGTCTAACGCCTAAGTGCGTGCGAATCTTGCGGAATTCCATGATCGTTTTTCCTGTGTGGGTGGTCAATACATAAGATTATCGAGTAAAACCTACTGCTCGCGTTACCATTCAGAGACAATTGCACCAACGCGGATGACGTAATCAAAAATAAGAACGCTTCTCATCCGTCTATATTGCAACGGTTAACTTAAACGGTTAACAGTTAACTTGAAAGCGCAAAATCTATTTCTAGAAAAAGAGGGAAACAGAGAGTCCCTGTAAGCAAGATTAATAATAATTATTATTGCAATAATATCTATTGCGAGTCAGTGCAACTGACTTTCAATAAACCGATAGTCTTCACTGATCGATTTGTCGACATTTAAACTTAGGTAACGCACAGAGAAGTAAAATTCTACACTGAAAATAAAAACGTATAAACGTATAAACGAATTGAAAGATCAGAGAAAATCGCTTTATTCTAAATGCGAATAGAGCGTGATTGACGGTTGGATCGTAGAAAACGGAAAACAGGATCCCCATTCGCAACACGCGTTGTAGACACAGATGACGCTATAATTACATGATATAGATATAATAATAGCGACAACTGATCAATCAATTTATACATTGATTGATGAACGATCGATAAATTCTCTTTAGATATTCGTCTTAATACGAGCGACGAAGTCGACAGGCAATAATAATAATAATAATAAAAATAGTAATAGAGTATAATAATAATAATAAAAAGATAATAGCAATAGAGCCATAGTAACAGATTTGATTGAAGACAACCTATGACATGATTAAATCGTATATATAAATTCATTTTCGCAGGATGCTCCTTTACATTCATTGCATTTTGAATGTATGCACTTCAACAACAATAATAACGTTAATAATAATAATTAATACATGGGTTCGTAAAATACTGACGTACAATCGGTGCATAAATCGTTAAAGGTCGAGCATCGATCACATTGTGGCTGTTTCGATTGGAATGACTGCTTTCTGCAATGGCAAACTATAAATTATAAATATGAGTATAATACTAGGGGGAACACGTGCACGATGTATCTACAAAGAATACTAAAGTAAAAGAGCACCCTGCGTAACACACACATGTGTGAGCACATATATATATCACGTTTACACTTCTACAAAAGTATAAGACAACGATAACCGATAAAACTGTAATAATCAGAGCTCCTCTCGCGTGCGCCTTTTTTTAAATAAAAAAAGCCATTACTCGTAACCCCATCAGAGGCCAGTGGTCATTATGCTTGAATAAATGTTAAAATTGATGTGTGCCTCGCGAAGCGCTTTGCCAATAAAAACACATACACATCTAGATAAATAATAATTATAACAAATGATAAAAGTTACGCTAAAGAATAGCTGCATCTCTAATACATTTAATTATCATTGCAATAATTAAGCCTAATAAACGATACGTGCATTTAATTAGCTGCCGCTAGAAGTCAGTAAAATTGACGTGGACCACTTAGGCCGCGTTACATGAACTTGATTATGGAGAAAAGAACGAGGTATCTGCAGAGAAGATGGCAAAGGTCCTAGATACAAACAAGCTAAATGAAGACCCGTGAGAGTCTTATGGTCGCGTATATCACATATCGCGCAAAGTATTGGCAATACTTCCCGAACGTGATGCGGACGTTCCGGCCCGACTCTCCTCAGTGGCACGAACAACCGAAATCCCCGCGATTAACAACGAGATTGCGAGAACGTTTATCGATGCCGACGAAAAAGATAAGCAAGTGGACAACACGTGAGGAATACAACTTTTCAAAATATTTGCTCGAAGAAAATCATCGGATAAAATAAGCGAGCGTGAGGCGGAATATTCGATGCATCCGACTATCGTTTTGTGTCAGCTTTTATTACGAGGTTGACCTGAGAGGTTCTCTACTTGGAAGATAGATCCCTACGTCCTGTTTTACTCGGCTACCGATTAATAAAACTTTTCGAGAGTCTACTTGCCTACGACATTCCGTTCCGCTACTTTGATTATAAACGCTACCGGTCACGCGCGATATCGATATTGTCTCTATGGTATGCAATGTAAAATCCGCCATCGTTCTATCTATCTACCTACAAACGGTGCACGTGCCTTCCGTCGTGCGTCCCCCTTTTCCTTCTTTCTTCTTTTTTCTCCCCTAACGTACGTGAAAGCGTTTCGCCGGTCCACGGACGGTTACTATGCTACGCGCACTGTCAACGGGATATCCTTGGAGTCGCCGTGGCGACGAGGAATCGTTAGGAAATACGTGAAGCGTTAATAAATTAAGCATGCTGAAGCGATAGTTGGCGGAGCTCGATGAGCTCTTGAGTCGACAACCGAAAGCAGAGTGTTGCCTCTGTACGGTGAAAAAAAAAAAGAAGCAACGAGAACGAAAACGGATCGAACATTCGCACGTTAATTCGCACTCAACGGCATCACAAAGAACGCGGCTGAAGCGCGTTTCATACATAGAGAACGTAGTAGAAACGTTAAAACGTTAAAACTCACGAGTAGCAAACCCACGCTGCAGAGAGCACAAGGTCGCTTCAACGAAGGTTTCTTCTTTATCCTACACCCCTTAAATTCCTCTATTAACAATAGTGGTAACACAAGGCAGAGCTCTCCCCGAAGAGACTCTATGATATGGAGCAAAATTCACGGGGCATTAAACTGAACATTTCGCACAATCTTTAAAACGTCCTTTCTTACTTCCCCCGCATTCATCGAGCGCAATTTTTCTTCCAATTATAGTGAGGACGGCGTCATAATTTTCTGTTTTCTTATCTTTCTCTCTCTCTCTCTCTCTCTCACTTCAACCATTTAACATGCCCGCCCGCCTGTCCGTCTCTTTTGCAAAAATACGTCTCGCGAGAACGTTATTATTCTCGATATTACTGCGCACGTATCTACGAGACCGCGGACGTGACGTCTCATTTCTAACGAAGGAGAAGTCAATTATACTCACTAGAGTCCTCTAAGCCCACGACAATCGCGGTGCCGCGGTAAGTCGCGACAACGAGCAGTAGAAAAATTTGAAAAGGTTCAAAATCCTTGCTTCTCTCAGAATATCTTGCTCCACATCTTCATCATTTTCTAGAAGAAGTCTCTGCCTAAGTGGGGACGGTTCGTCTGTTGCGACAGTCGCGGTCTACCGCGGCCATTCGCGCCGGCGGCGTGCCGCCTGGTATTACGCAGCTCCCGGTCGACTTCCAGTTCCTCCAGTTTCATAGTGAGACCGAGCTTCTGCTGCACCGCCAAACGCAGCAGCTGATTCAGCGTCTTCCGGTCGTCCTCCGCCACAGCGAGCTGCCGTTGAAGCTCGTCGACTTGCGTCACGTACTCTTCGCAGCGTGCAGCGAACATTGCACGCAGACCTGGAGAGTGTATGGTTAGCAGGGTTTAACACGATGTAGAGATAAGCGAGCGACAGAGTCAGAACGCGCCCGACAAATAGCGTATCTAATTCCTCGTGGAGGGAGAATTGAACGGCAAACCAGGCATCTCGATTAATCGTTGAACATTGTTACGTTTGATATATTTATGTAGCATAAAATGTTATATGGCAGAAAAACGCGCACCAAGCAGTTGAAGCCAGATGTACATTGATGCATCGTGTTCCAAAACTGTTCTCGACTAGTCACACTTAAGAATGAATCGCGCGGATCATTTTTATGCGATGCAATAATTATGGCACAGGACGAGAGCGTTTGAAAAATCGATCGTGGTACCCCAGAGAATTAACAGCAGAGCATTCATAATAGCTGATAGCGAGAGTATTTTTAATGTCGTGTTAGTGGGCATGTGTTAGGAAAACAAAACGTAAAAAAACAAAGTTAAATTATTGAATTTCACTGACAAACTGTGAGACTTATAAAATCATTTTGCAAAAAGGAGATGTTTAATAAAGTTTCACACGGCAACTATCAGCTATCTCAATGGGATCTGTTCTTTTTCTTTTTCACAGGCAGCTTTTTATGAAATATTAAAGAATCTTGATAGTGTGGCGAAGGCAGAACAAGAAGTGCAAAGTCAAATACTCACTTGAGAACGTCGCGGCATTTTCCTTCAGCATCCTAAGTTCATTCCTCAGTTTGAGCATCGTCTCGTTCACGATGCTCTTTTCGTTCTCATATTTGCTCTTCAGATTCGTCAACGCTACTTCAGCCGTGTTCTTATTCGATTTGAGTACCGTTCTTAACGTGGCAATCTGTTCCCGTTTAGCGGACAACAAGGCCTTTAACCTGATGACTTGCTCTTGAAGGTCCGTTACCTCTGCCTTGTTTTCGTTGACAGAAGCTGCGAAGAGAACAGAAGTTTAGGACAAATTTGAAAATTAAATTGTCATTACAAAACTAGAGATCTATCTGTATCATAAAATCAAAACCTTCTTAACAAAGTATTTGCGCATTCACCTTCACAAACGTTGCAGACATTGGACTGCATTCCTTTGACTTTAGACAGTTCGATCGTGTGCTCCACCGAGCTTCTGAGATGCTTTATTTGGTCCATCGCCGTCTCTATGTGTTTCGCAATTTCCTTCGCCTTACTGAGACTCTCCAGATCCTTGATCTTAATGTCGGTCTTAAACAAGGTTCGGCACCAGTCCATTTTGCTGCTCTCCTCCTCCTTCTCGGGAACAATCTTCTCGTGATCCAGTACCACTCTCGAAGGAGTCTCGCCGTTGACAGTACACACGTGGTGATAGAGTTGCGCGAGTTCCTCCGAGAGATTCTGGAGGTCGTTCTGAGCGGAATCGAGGAAGCCACCTGCTTCCGCGGTGAGTTTCGACAGAGTGGACACGTCTGACTCGAGTTGCATGCTTCTCTGTTCAGTGTCCAAGAGCTGAAATGAAAGAACGGAATGTTAGTCGCGTGAACGAAAGCGCGATACCAGTCGTAATAAATGCATTAGGTACGCTTTGCTTGATACTGCGTGTTTGTCGGAAGTTGTTCGTGAGACGAGTTTGCAAAACTCGAGTGGTGGTAGTAGTAGTAGTATTTTTTTTTTTTAGGATCGAGTACGCAGTTTTTTGCGAGTACTACGATAGACTTTGCGAGAATATGGCATACGTCGTGTACGATTTCTCTTGTCTGAGCATCGTGCAAAAGAGGCTCGGCGAGTACGACACATGCTACGTTAGATGCGTACGAAATTGATAATAGGAGGAGAGTGATATCAATTCTGAGAGACTTGTTGTTCCTAAGCGTATTCTATTGTTGAAAAAAGCCACGGTGCATAGCGTATTACGATCCGTACGTCGTCCCTTTCGAGCGATTTATAATGATGTTCATTCGTTCAGATGCTAATGCGAAAGGGCGATCCGCGTGTGAGAATAAAAGGTACAAGTCTGCAGGTAGCTGTCTCTCCGAGAGAAATATTCTCACACGTGAATACACATTCAATGGAGCGATGGTGAATTCGTCAGTAGCTTCGGAAATATATGTGGTTAAATATGTATAAAGAGAAGATCAGAGGAAGCGATGTATATGGGTTGTTAGGACACTGAAAAGCGAAAATTTGTACGGATCATTAGAGGAGCCAACAAGACAAATTGTTATTGAATAATTTGGTAAATACGTCAAGGGGACCACACGTTCCAACCTTTTCTCGAAGGCTCTTCTCTGACTCGGGTATCTGAAACGCCACAATTTCTATTCAAGGTAACCGAATTTTGCATGACGTTTACGCCAGTATCGTACACACACACAAACACATTATATTCTTGCCATTACCAAATTCTTACTCTTCCTCTTTTTCATTTCTCTCTATATCTTACAATAGTCTGTTTTAACTTACGCTTCCGCTCTTCGTCGCGACATCGCGACAATGCCGTTGTGAGTGTATCTTCGAGAAATCGCGTGATGAAATACGATGAAATTCGTACCTTATTTCTCAGATTCGTCAGCTCCGTTCTCAGCTGCTGCGTCGAGTCGGACACGGCCAAGCCATTCTCCAACTCCGCCAGGTCTTTTTGCAATTGGGCAATCTCGCGAGCGGACATGGTACTCCATTGATGGTACTGCACAATAGCCTGTAAAAATGATAAAATATCATTAATGTTTCATTCGGGTACTGCAAAATGCAACTCATTTATCATGCAAGATACAACACAATTGTCATACAAAATGCAACTCAATTTGTTGCATCTCGTTTCTCTTTCACCCATTATTAACTTTAATTTGTTTAAATTGAGAGACCATAATATATATGCGAATATACTTGGTTGAGTTTATCCAGCGTCGTTTCTTCGCTCTGCTTCTCGGGTAATTTCGAGTGAAGATGATGTAACGATTGCACATGTGCTGCCAGCTGCACTATTCGCGCAACGAACGTCTGCAGCTCGCCCTGGCTCTTCTCGACCGCGTACTGCGACTCGCGTAGATTTTGCATGAGATGAGCCTTCTCGGTCTCCGCAAGCTCCAGTTGCTTCTCCAGCTTCTTCAGCTCGTTCAGATGAATCTCAGAGAATAAGTCGACCTGCTTGTCAGTTGCAGACGTGCCCGGCTCTTGCGTTTTCAGATCCGCCTCAATTCTGCGCAATGCAGGCGAGTCGTCCTCGCCGTCGCTGCATATCGTCTGATCTTCTGTGATGCCGCGGATGGAGAGCGCGAGATTGCTAAGGTTATAAATCGATTCGCTGTTAATCCGCTGATCCAGCTCTTTCTTTAGGGCGTACTTGGCCTCGCGCTCAGCCTGTAAAGACTCAAGAGCCTCCTCCATCTGCTTCTCTGCTATCTTCTTCAGATTCGTCAGTTCTTCAACCTGGCTGTTAAATAATTCAACCTCCTCTGTCAATCTGCGAATTTCGTGTTTGGCACCTTCGAATTCCACCTGACTGGACCGCAAACCGGACACTTGCTTCTGCAATGAGATGTTCTCATCCTCTAACTCAGAGTAGTCCTGAAGCAGGCGAGTCTCACGGAACCTGCATTCCCGTAATTCCGTTCGCAACGATTTGCGTTCCGTCTCCGCCTGCTGATGATCCTTCCCGACTTCCTCGCGCTCCTGCAACGCGTGATCACGTTCCACCTCCACACGTTCCAATTCATGACGTAGCTGAAACAAGAAACTTAACACGTCAGACAGGAAAATGTTTCGCACAGGCATTGTAGTTCACACAGTAACAATTACTCTATAAAATTAATAATTTTTTATTAATTGTGTTACTATAAAATTAATTATATTTTATTAATTGTATTACTATAAAATTAATTATATTTTAGCAACTAAAATATGCTATTAAAACATTTGCTATGTCTCTAGTAAAATTTACTATATTCCTTAGCAAGATGAATCTTAACAGTCTACTTCTGGACTACTAAAACCATGATAAAATGAAAAAGAATTTATATGAAAGAAAACTACATATTCTCTTCAAGTAGAAACTGACAATTATAACTAATTCAATACACACCTGTTTTGTTTCATTCTCTAGCTCTATAATCTGTGTTTGCAAAGAAGTTTCACGAGCAGCACTCTCACTCAGAAGACTCTCTTCTTGCTCAATGCCGCTCTTTGTGGTCAACTTTGTAGTTGTCTGGAACTTTGCGAGGGCCTAAAATAATAACAGAATATACTTTATTCCTGCTCACATAAGTGTGCAACAAGTGATAAAAGTAACTTAAGATTGTTCAACTCAAAATTGTTCAAAGCTTGACACAAGATGTACCTCTTTTAAATTTTACTTCACAGATTCAACTACAAATACTTTCATTCAGTTTTTGATATACATTTTTTAATAAAACTAGTCATAATTATACAAACACAAGCGAGTGAATTAAGTGGCCAAAACAGATATAGCGAACAAATCACTCTGTTGCCTATATTCTCCTGATTTGTACTTATTTGATACATTTGCTGGAGAACAACTTATGCAGCTAATTCACAGACTTACTTTGACTGAATTCTAAATTAAATTCTACTTTAAAAGAGCAATTAAACAATTTTCTCCAACTTTCTACTTTATACTTTGCTCCAATATAACTCTGCTCCAAATTAATCCATGTCTTATGTTTTATGAAGCATTAATTAACGTTCCCACAAGGGAACTGTTGCAAGGACAGAATAAATTCCCTCTCACTCTTCCCCTCTTTCGCGCCGTGTAGGCGGGCGTGTCGAAGCAGACGCGTGTCCAAGCAGACAGCTGCGCTCCGAAAAGTCTCATCGCACTAACCTCCTGCGTGATCTCCAGTTCATGTTTCGTGTTTTCGTAGAGGGCCTCGAGGTCGTTGCATCGTTGCTGCAGAGCCGACTTCTCCTCGAGCAACGCGAGTCCGTACTGCGCCGACTGTATCTTCTCGGTAGAGGCTAAATCGAGCTCGCGTGACAACCGCTCGATCTCGGTCCTCAGCTCCTCGAGCCCGACCCCGTTGACGGCGGCGGCCATTGCTGCTTGCGTCGACTGCTCGACGGGGATGACGGCGACGGTAACGGTGACGGGAGCGGTGGCGGTGGCGGCGTCGGCGTCGACGACAACAACGACGACGACGACGAAGATGACGGCGATGTCTCTTATCCTCTGAACGTTGTTATCCTCCTCTTCTTCTTCCTCCTCCTCCTCCCCCTGCGTTTGCTGCACCAGCTCTTTAGCAGCTTGTCGTTATCACGAGTGGAACGCACAGACGCCGGTCGCCGTGGTTGCACGTCTTGAGCGCGGACGCATCCTTCGATTTAACTCGCTCAGACACGTCGATGTCCTCTTGTCCGCGATAGGACAGCAACACGAGTTCTCGCGTCCGCTATTTCTCCTCTCCTCGACACTCTGCCACCACCTTCTCCTTTTCACATCCTCCTCGCGAGCGAGCCACTGCCGCGAGCCACTCGCCGATTTTGACAGACATGCGACGACGACGACGACGACGACGATTCGGCGGCCACGAAGGGGCGCGCGGTGGGCGGCGGAGTCGAGGACGAGGTCATGCAAACAACCGGATGCATGTTCCGCGTTCGCGTCCGTCGTCAATTCGGCCTTTTAACCCGTTTCGGTATTCCGCTCGTCCAGGCGCGCGCACCTCAGTGCCGGCGCTACTGGGCCGGGCGCCCTTGAATCTGGGATAAATTTTACAACTTTGCAAATTTCTAGTAAGTGACTTTTGCTCCCTTAAATTCGCCCGTCAAGTTGCATAGACTTTTCATTCGACAAACTAGTCATCAGAAAACTATTCCGTCGTGAGAGCACTATTACATATATTTATTTTTCGCGCGCGTATTTTATTTCTAATAATAATTTTATTTCTTTTAATAAAAAGTTCTTCTTTCTTCTTAGTTCTCGTAAGTGTCTTCTGTTTACTTAGCTTATTAGTTAGTATAAATTCACGAGTATTTACAAAAAAAGCGTGTTTAAAATAAAAAATAATTCAAAGTTGTCGTTCAGCTTAAAAGTCTTTCGACTTTTAAATAAATTTCTTCCAAAATCATTGAATGGATTAAAATGTTTTATCCTGCAATGGCACGAAGCGCTGATATTTTCTCAGTGATCTCTCATTAAAGGTAGCATATTCAGGTAATACGCATCGTTTTACAAACGATTCTAAAATGTTAAATATATTTAGAAAATCTATGTGAAACCAATATATGCTATTAGCTAATCACTTATTCGCAAGTTTCTAAAACCAGTATTAGTAATCGTTATTTGAAAAATAACCTTACCTAAATAAGATATTCAGATTTGAACACACAGTTAGATGTGAATTTTTCTGTTGAATTGCGATTACAAATATAATGTCGTATATATTGCGTGATTTAAGTATGAAAAACTCAAATCTAACTCGAAATTTATACTTAAGTATCTCACGTGAGGTAAGTTTCAAGTAATGGTTATTAATACTAACTTTGACTAAATGTCAAAGGAGGTGAAAGGTTAAGACTCTGTACTTTATGTAGCGAGTCCTTCGATTTCTAATTAAAAAATTATGCAACATGATACCACTTATAACGTCGCGCGGATATAGCGAAGTATCGTGCCACGTATATCCAACGATATTTATATCGTGTACGCACGAGAGAAGTCAATATTTGTGTTCTCCGTCGTGTCATGTGGTTATTTATAATTCTTTCGCCGAACTAATGGAAACAACATGAAATTACAGTGTGATCTACGAAGTTATAGATTACACGTTGATAAAACGTACGCGAAATTACGTTCGCTTTGTAACAACGCACATAAATTTTGGTAAAGCGTATAAGAGCGAACGTGCGCAAAATTCACGAGGTACATACATACAGATGGACACGATACGTGGACAATTGCTAATTAATATTCACCGAGTCTATTACGCATTTACGATGACACACCGAATTGCGTAGATGCGCGGCCCAGAGCATGCGTACATTAGCAAAAGATTACGTAATTCACTTCTAGCCAGCGATCTATACATGTGCAGAAGGGTATATCATATCACTCGTCGATGTGATCGAGCTGATCATTAGTTGTGAACTCACCAGCGACCAACCTACAGATTTTTCGCCGTGTCATTACGCATTAATTCCGTTTAACGAGCGAATCAGCCGAATCCCATAGTCTAATTTTCAACGCTGCAAGCATGGAAAGAATACATTGTACGTTAATTTTGTCGCTTTATTAGCATGAATGAAAATCACTTTCGTGTGTTGTAAGCGTCGAAAACCGAATCCAATAAAATGATACTTCGATTACAAATGTATCGTATAATTGGAAGCAACGCATATGTTAAAATAATTTGAAACACACATAATTTATATATATATATATATATATATATATATATATATATATATATATATAAACTATAATCAATTACACTTTCACTCTTAATATTCGTAAATTTTCACACAAAAATTTAAATTCAGGTGCCACTCCTGTAAACTTATCGTAGACGCATTCGGTTTCAATTTAAACGGCAAGAACATCTCCGTATTGAAATATCCAACAAGGGAACGAAAAGAAAACTCATTTGCCTCTCCATACACATTCTATTTCAAAAATTCAGTTTAAAAACATAACTTCGAATACTTCACAATCCTTTTATTAGTTTGTAGCCATTTTGTTTTTTTCACTTCTTCCTCTTCATCCTCCTTGTCTTCTTCCTTCTTTCTTTCTCGCTCTCTCTCACTCTCTCTCTCGTTTGTTTTTTTTAAGTATTAATAGATTAGTTTAATATATAAGTCGAGCCGTGGACCCGGCGTGCGCCGCCGGTCGAATTAAATTCATACACTGTAACAGTCGTATTCTTTACAATATTCGTACGTAAGTCTTGTAGCAGAGACAAAAGCGCAGGTGCCCTAATCGCACTCCTTTCTTATAGTTTTCATATAATTATTTGTATGTTCGTCTGAATCTCTGATGCTACCGATGTACTCGGACTCTGATAAAATTATTGATTATACGATTGAATTATCCGGAGAAAAAACGATTGTGTGACCTGTGATGGTCAGTTATTTAGTAATGTTCAGAGTAGTCCCTTTCATATATCATTAATACAGAGATATATCGTGCATCATATACACGCTAGTAGTGGTTACCGATCTGACACAGTGTTCTCTATAATATATCATATATCATATATCATATTACCAGTAACTAACTCAACGATATCAGTGACATAATATAAAAACCGTTAAATTACGACACAATAAATGTATATTCATCTGCAATTTGATATATTTATATCGTAGCTTCCCAATTCTAATCTCTAGGAATAAAAGATAAAGTATAATTATATAATTAAATTACATGTGGCCTACATGTAGACTAAGTGTAACCGGTAATTGTATATAATCATTGGTATATGAAACAGAACAAAAAGCATATAATATATCCAAAAAAATATATATCCTTCAAGATCTTCAAGAAGAAATGCGAGAAACTAGGACGTCTATCGTATATAACTCAAATCTGACTCACTTCTGATCCCTCTTTGTTCTTTCAAAACACAGGATTAATTGAGCCAAGATCGAAGTCTATTTACATACGCGATGGAAAATGATTAAACGCAGTACGTACTAATCCGACCGAAAGACGTCCTAATCTTCCATGTTTTAGTGCAATTTAAATTTTTAATAAAATAAATTTGTGACAAGTCTTAGACACAGTACAGTCTTCATATATATGTCTCTCAGACAATTGATTTTGGTCCGAAGAACTTTATGTGAGACACGCAAGTCCACGTACCGGTAGCACTAGAGAGACGTCACGGTCTGATATAGCGAAGTACAATTTGTTTGATCCTCTCCAAATCTCGTCGTGAGTACTAACACACCGAAACTACGCAATGAGATCCGGTATTAAGTCTCGAACAGAGTGTGTAATTAAGTGTACAAAATCGTTATTTTTGCAGGACACCTGGGTTACCGCGAAATTACATCTCGGGCCGCGTCGGCCCGGGCCTTCCTTCCACCGAGATAGTCAGGCACGCCTGGCTTCTGAACGTTAAATACACAATTGTCGCTGCTGGTAAAACCACTTTTGAGCTCGCACGCGGACGAATTGTGCGGATTCTTTGCGTGTTTTTCTTCTTCTATTTCTTCTTCTTCTTCTTTCGAGCAATCGGCATGATCCATGCGCGCACGCACGATCCGTCCGCGTGTTCATCTTTCGGACTAAACAAAGACTCGCCCCGTTCAACTTCGAAGATGTCGAGGGTATACTGTAATATATGTCGCGTTGCATATAAGCATGAAAATGGTCCAGTATGTTCAGAAAGTAGTTGGAATTCTAAAAACGCGTCTCTTACCCTAATTGCGTTGCTCGCGTTGTATTTTTTTTTTAATTTTTATGAACACTGCGTACTGCGATCGTATGTACTTGCGTCGCGGCCTCGCCAACGCGATTTTATCGTGTGGCTCTACACGTGCTCGCATTTCTCTTGTTCACCTCTTGATGTTCTTTTAGGAAAAACCTCGCTTTGTACTCGCGTTAAACGTAAATGATCGTTTCCACGTCAGCGGTTATAGACAAACTTACGGTTCTACTATGTTTCATCTCTCGATCCGCTAATTTTCTGATTAGTGTATCTATTTTTATTTTTTATTCTCTGATTCTTCGTCGTATCTACAAATTTTGCTTCTACAACATATAAGTTACACGAGTAAGAAATAGTAAATGAAAAACGATCTCCCCAGCATATTAGTCTAAACATGAATAATATAATCTTCTCGTGTAAAATACAAAGAGAGTCATACAGACAGAATTATATCATCGCAGTCGGAATTAGCCACCAGCAACGACCAGAGTATAGCTAGCTTTTTACAGTACAAAATACAGCTCCTGCACATATGCATAAATATATGTATACACATATGCGCATATATATATACATATACCTAGTAACGAAGTATTTTCAGCAACATGTAAGGATATAGTAAGGTTGGTACACACCAGTGTGGGCTCCTCTCATCTCAAGTCCGTCAACAGTCTGGCGACGGTATGAACTACATGAACTATAGTCGTGTTATTAACAATTATATGCTTGTACGTAGAAAATATCTCAACTTGTACAGACCACCGTGTTTATATGTATATATACATACATATGGATATAGCGATCATTTTTTTTTTTTCAAACGTATCATACCGGTATAAATGACGATTCTTCCTTTTTTTTTGTATTCGGACACAAACACATGTTTCTCTCTCTCTCTTTTGCCCTACTTCGTCGAAGTTGGGGGATACGCAAGACCCAGTACAACTGTATATAAACCCGTAAACACTGACAATCCTACAACTATATTTCGCTTTCTTGTCCGTCCGTTCGCCCACCCGCATACGACGGAACCGGACGGGTATAAGTAAAAAGAAAACAAAAAATATAAAACGGAAACTCAGAGAAAAATGACGTAGTAACAGCTCGGCGAGATCCTCATTACATCCTTACACATTAAAAATTAGCGTTACTAATTCTTATTTTTATGCATTCAGGGCCGGCATGTGTTCTCGCTTTCTCTTTCCATTCCCGCTTTCGCTTCCGAATTACTTCTTTTTTTTTCTTTGTGAGTGTCGGCTAGAGAGTTCGAGAGGGAGGACCAGAGAATACAAGATGCGTGGATGCGAAAAGTGGTGCGACGTGAGCCTGTGCCTATGTCAATGGCGAGACGTCATTATCTCAACGAGCGCCGACTAGCAGCAGCCTGTCCTTTTCTTTTTTTTTTGTTTTATCTTGTCAATCGTTTCAGTCATTTCGTTATGTAAAATTTGCTGTGTTGTACAAATGCGACAGCCGCCGAGGGAGCACGTGTATGAAGGAAGTGGCGCGGCTTACACCGCGCGAACACGCGTCGATACCTCGCGAGATCACGTGTAAGCTTCCCGAGTATCCATACATCTTGCATCGGAAAACAATGCGCGTACGAGACAGTTCGAAAGTCAAGGGACAGAGGACTCATGTCTCTACTCTAATTCAATCGAATGTTTATAATATTATTACATACGTGTATGTATATAATGCATGTGACTGTATGTTGTCTTGTGTATACCATGAACGTGTAACATGGTAAAAACGTCGGACGTGTTACCCTGCGCTCACGCACACGTAATAGTAGCAGAAGAGTAGTAATGTAATCATGTGTATTTTGCTATATATGCATGTATACATGCATATACATATGTATGTATGTATGTATGTATGTATGTGTATGTATGTATGTATGTATGTGTGTATGTATGTATGTATGTATGTATGTATGTATGTATGTATGTATGTGTCAGTGTAACAGCAATAAAAACTTAAAGACATCGTTAAGAAAAAAGAAAAACCCTTGCGAAGAGAACAACGGTGGGCAGAGAAGGTAAGGAGATTGGGGATAAGGGGGAGGAGGGCTTGGATGGCCTCCGGGAGTTGGGAGCATGGAGAGATGGAAATCCGAACGACTACGACGACGACGAGGATGAGTGCCGCCGGCGACGTCGACGACAATAGCGGCTCAAAGGAGACAGCGACGGCGACGACGACGACGACGGCATACGTCATCCGCACATTGTACGCGTCAACGAGACATGTGTCTGCACATCCCTACCTAGTTATAATTCTCGGTAGCAACGCGCGTGACGGTAAACAGCTTATCGTTATCGTTAAGCGAGCGGCACGGATTTCGGTTATCTCCTACTTCCTGTCGTCCTGGTCGCACTCACGGCTTATGTGACCGGTCTTACCGCAGATGTAGCAAGTCTTGCCACCAGCCTCGGTGCAGTTGCGAGCGATGTGACCCGTCTTGTTGCAGTTGTAGCAACTTTGCATGGCAAAGCGACCGGAATCATTGCCGCCCTCCGGGCAGCTGCGCGCCATGTGACCAGTCTTGTTGCAATTGTAACAACTCAGTTCTGGCCCCTATTACAGAGAAACACAGTTGCTCCAAAACTGCCTTTTCACGGCAAACTCGAAAATTAGTGCTATACTGTGCCATGCGCAAGCTCTCAGTCTTGAGTTGAATAGTTGTGCTCAGCAGAGAAAATAGCTCAGTGAACACTTGGCTCCTTATTTTCAACTCTTTTATCAATAAAGGAGCCTCTAAATGTGCTTATAAGCTAAGCAAATAATGGTTTATAAATCACATTTAGAAACACTTTTAACGATAAAAGTAAGTTCAAAACGAGGGTCTTAGTGATTGTTGTCTGCGACTGAAGTCACCGACAAATATTAGACTTCTTTTAGATTCTTCATTAATTCTGGAGAAAAAAATATACCAAATGAAGAGCAATAATTATTAAATCTTCACTGAATTCTAGTATATAACTCACTTCAGAAAGATGTTTCTACTAATAAAAAAAAGTTTGGAATAAAGGCCTTAGTGATTGTCTGCGACTTTAGCGTCGCAGACCAATTCTTGGATTCTTCAGATCCTTGATTAACCTATGAGAATATGCCAATCAAGAGCCATAATTATTAAACACTCACTGAATTCTAGAGGACCATCTACATTGTAAATTGTAATAAAATGTAACTGTAAACAGAAGAAGAAATTGACCAATTACAGTTGATTATTCTTCTTACATTTGACTGTGATTGGTCAATTTGTTACTCTTACTTCTTACAGTCATACTTTACTCCCATTGTAGACAGTCCTTAATACATAAGTCATATTTAGAAAAATACTTTTATTAATAAAAGAGAGTTCAGCACAAGAACCTGAGCGATTATAGTCTGTGATTGAAGTCATCGATAAATTCTTGAATTCTTTCAGATTCTTGATCGATCTAGCATAATGTATCAATCAGAAGCAACAAAGTAGACTGAGACAAATCTGATCAAAATAAACTTTGTGACACACAAAGTACAAACAGCTTGTTTGAAGTGAAAAATCAATGACTAACTGTTTCGAGGCTTGTTTTGACAAAGTTTGCTGCAGTCTAACATTAAGCGCTCACTCAGTTGGTTTCTCCGCTGAATACAGACAATAAGGACAAAAGTATTGAGAAGAAAAAAAAAAGGGACAACAGTTGCAGGCAGAGTATTTACCTGCTGACAGTCTTTCGCAATGTGTCCGACACCATTGCAGCGGTAGCAAAGATCCTGATCCTCTTTGCACTCGCGTGCAAAGTGTCCGAATTGGTTGCACTTGAAGCATTTCTCTCTTCCACGGCCAAAGCCACCATCCCTGTCACGACCGCGATCTCCTCTACCTCCACCTCCACCTCCTTGTGGGCACTCCCGCGCAAAGTGGCCCATGCGGTTACATTTGTAACATGCACTTGAACTCATTTTTTATAATATCTGCAATGGGATACATGCGTAAATTATTATGTAGGCACTAAATCGATCTCACAAAGCCCGCTTTCTTTTTCTCTTTTTCCGACGTTATCTGCCAACAATAGTACTGGCTCTCAACCCGATCTCTCTTAATAGTAACGTGTTTGTGGAAAAATTGTCAAATGTCATGTCGCTCCTTTCTCTCCGACTCGACAAGCCTGTCTTTGTCTCTACTAATCGCAACACATATGCTACAAGCCATACTCGACAGTGATGTTCGAATTTTTCCAACAGACACCCGAGGCGAACGTACGCTCGTGTCATTCACACGGAACAAAGTTCCGACGGCGACTCTCTCTCTCTCTCTCTCTCTCTCTCTCTTTCCCTCTTTCCCTCTCTCTCTCTCTCTCTCGCACTCTCTTTCTCTCTCTCTCTCTCTCTCTCTCTCTCTCTCTCTCTCACACGAAGCTTCTGTACTCAGCCTCCTGAGCAGCAAACGCGGGGACTCCTCCGATTTTACACCTACGCACTCCGCGGTCGGAATCGGCCCATCGATAACGACGAAAACACAATTATATAATTCCCGTCGGATCAAACAAAAGGTCGCGGGCGGATTTTGCGAAGCGGTCCGTAAGGCCAAAGCACCCGACGACGAGAATGCGCGAGCGACGATGGTGCTACCGTATCAACGCACGCGCGCTTCAGCTCACAGATGTCTCTTCGCACGTTGAATAGATCGCGAGCTACGTGACGCGCGCGCGAGGGAGGAAGGGGGAAAGAGGCAGGGAGGGAAAGCAGACAGGCAGGTGAACGTGGACTTTGTCGGGAAGAGAAAAAGAGAGAAAGACCCGAGAGAATCCGTACGGCCACAGGAAATTTCTGTCGAGACAAAGTGGCGAGGGCCCACACGCCGCGCCATACGCGTTGGTTGCGGTGCAAACCGCACCGCGTCGCGCCGGCCGGTCGACGCGATCGAAGCGGCGCATTAATAAAATGGCATCTCCTGCATCGCACGAAAGCACCCGCCTCGTTCGCGCACGGACATTATCGCCCGAAGACGTGCACGCGCTCCGACGCCGCGAGGCGTCCTGTGCACGTGTAAAGAAAGAGCGCGCGCGAACGAGTGAGTGAGCGAACATGCGACGACGAGAACGCGTGCATGAGAAACGATACCAATGACATAGACGTAGTACGCGAGATGAGATGTCGCGTCGTGTTCGGTTACTCGCCAGCGACGATGACGATAATAATGCTAATATCCGGCGGATTTTACCCTAGCGACGATGCTTCTCCGATTTCACAGCGCCGAGTACCAACGTGGCTGCTTGATATCCGCTCCGTTCGCTCACTCGCTCCTCTTTCTCCTTCGCTCTTTCTCTTTCTCCGTGCTCGCCCCCACTTTGCGCCGGTCTTGTATGTGCGTACGGATGTCCGTGTACGTACTCCGTGTATATGCGCGTAATATGCACGTACACGAACACGCGCGTATGTACGTATGCGCGCACACACGTACACACACGGAGCTACGTGCGCGGCGCGAAGATGGCATCCGAGACTGACGCCGCGCGCGCGCTGCGCTTTTTTTGCGTCGAGCACGGAGGAAAGATCGCCCGATGGCGATTGGCGATATACAGCTGCAGCCGGGACGCCGCGGCCGCGCGCGCCCTTGCGGCGATCCCCTTTGCCGGGACTTTGTGTCCTTGCGGCGGCCGTGCGCTCCTAATTTTCCGTCGTGGCGACACGCGCTGTAGAGACTATGGTGCGTGCAGCCACGACGGGTACCGAGCTCGAGCAGAACGTGAAAGAGGACGAAGGAGGAACGACCACGTGCCGGATTCGCGCAAGGCCCCCCATGAGAGCGGAAAGCCGCTCTCTCCGGCGGCGGCGCGACTGACTCGTGCCGCGTGCCGTGGACGCTGGAGAACTTGCCGATCACTCACCTTGTTCGCTGCTGCTGAACTACCAAACCAGACTGCTGCACGGCCGTGGTACTGTGTACGGGCTCGCTACACGTACGGTGACGATGCGATCGCGGGAAGCAGTGTTTTCCGTGGGAAAACTCGGACCGACACTCTGCTGCGAATGGATCGCTTCACCATTGACTATGAAAAGATAGATTCACTAACCGTTATAAATTACCAAAAAGAACGCCCTCTCTTTCAGTTATATTGTTGGTAGTACAAGAGACTAGGCGCGATCTACTTGCATCCCAAAACACCCTTTTTTACTTGATAATATATGTAACGTGAACTATAGATATTGAGTAAAATTTTAACTAAAGAACGCGCTGTCGCTGGAAAAATCAGTCGAGCTCGTTCGCGACGAATAATTTGTGTCCCTTCGGATATTACGCATATCACTAAACCGTGAATGAACATCGCTGATTGGTCGATCTGCGTGCGAGGATCATGCATGACTATGAATAAAACCACAAGTTCGAACTTGATTGGTCGGAATTGGACCAGAATTCATCGATCGCAATTTTTGGACGCAAGTATCTCATGTTGGTGGTTTCAAAGCAGCATATATTAATCTGTCAATAATTGGCCACTATAGATTCATATACATCCAATGTCTCTTGGAAAGAAAAAGATGCTTCTTGTTTCATAAAATGTTGAGAGTCGGTAAATTAACGATAAATAAATCGCGAGCACTCGTATCGTTACGTCGTATAACGGGAAATATTTCATCTAAATAGGTCATCAGATAAAACACATTTTGTTGTAAATCAATAAATCATCGGCGTTTTATAAGAGTGCCGCTTAAACGAATACGAATTTGGTGATTCCAATGGCTGCGTTCCTTTTGAGCGCTCACGCGCTTTAAGCGCTTATAAGTTACTCTATCTTTCTTTTACAACTAATGAACGATAGAGATAGAATAACGCTTACAGCGCGTGAGCGCCCAAAAGGAACGCAGACAATGTATCCAGAATAAAAAGTCACACGTTTCCGTCGTTTGTTGAAATAGAGCACTTGATGCTTCACGATCGATCTCGTTATAGCAACTAGAAATATCCCGAAAATTTTCAACGTGGGTTGCGAATATACTGTGTAATAATAAGAAAATTTAGTTTCGCTTTAACATACGCTACGACTCGACAATAATTATCTCTTGCGACTAAATATGAAAAGTAATTTGATTACCGTATTATTTCCGATTGTGGAAGAAAGAAAGAATGCTTCCTAAATCCATCAAATCTTGGCTGCTTCGGTAAAATCTTCGGATCCACCATGTTTCCGTAGTACAATCGGCTAATTAACACTTTTCCTTATGAATTTTGAACATATCTCGTATATCCAGTAGAAAAACGTGTCTCCTGAAAATAAAGCCAGTGGCACACGATGCTTGTTTTCATGCAGGATTGCTTGCTGGATGGAAATGCTCTATTCTGATTGGTCCGTCTTCAAAAATGCACCAATTAGAACAGAGTATTTCCATTCAGTAAGCAATCCAACATGAAAACAATCGTGTGCCGCTGGCTTTAACTAAGAAACAAATTTTCTTATTGGATACAGGATATATCATGGAACTCTTCGAGAAAGTGTTGCTACTTTTAATCAATCGACTGTACATTGTGTGATAAACACGTACACAAACATCTCTGTAAATGCAGAAATTCGTTAACATTAAAACATAAGATGTATCAAGACTCCAAAGAGAACATATCAGTGTTTTCCAGCTACATACACTGTTACACAAAACCAGTTTATTGATTGCATATTATCTTACAAGATATTTTAGATAATATGTGACCAATAAACTAGTTTTGTGTAACACAGTATAAAGGCTGGTTTATAATGGTCGTAATCTGTTAACTTATGCTGGAACCGTAAAAAATTGACCAATCACAGTCGATTATTCTTCTATAATTCGATTATGATTGGTCAATTTTTTACGGTTCTAGCATAAGTTAACGGATTACGGCCATCATAAACCGGCCTTTTGCACCCTGGTCTTTTTTAGTGCCTGGTTGCACCAACATTATTTTGGCTAGTAGAGACTTATAACGTCATTAATCGCTCTCGGAGAGATTAACCCAGGACCAGTCGAACACGCTATAAGTTTCTACTGAAAGCACCTATTGTCAACACTGTCTACTCTTGTGTAAAGAATCTTTGAAAGAACTCAGGTAGAACTCGCAGAAAGAACTCAGCTGAAAAATTTTGAGACCAAAAACAGGTAAGATGGATGAATAAAGATATTTGAAGGTCGATTTTCTCAATGGTCCGTATTCTGAATTTTTTTTTAACGATAAATGAGCCACTAAAGCCCGGTTGCACCAACGTTATTTTGGTTTTAAATGAGACTTTAATATATGTCTGTCTTTATTTATTTAGAAAGAAAGATAAAGATAGATATATATTTAAGTTTCACTTAAAGCCAAAATAATGTTGGTGCAACCAGGCCTAAAGACCGATTTATGATGACCGTAATCCGTTAACTTATGCTAAAATCGTAAAAAATTGATCATTCATAATCGAATTATAGAAGAATAATCGACTGTGATTGGTCAATTTTTTATGGTTCCAGCATAAGTTAACGGATTACGGCCATCATAAGCCAGCCTTTAAAGAGGCTTAGGAGCCACCTGATTGGCTGAGAAGCTAAGTTTAAGCCACTTTTATCGATAAAAGAGGGTTCAAAATATCCCAATCTCTTAGAAAGTTAACAATTAAATTATGCGTATCTTTGATTTTTCTTCAAATTAGACAAAGACAGACATGATTGAACTGTTAACTTACCTTACTTATGTTAGGAAAATTGGCCCTTATTCAATTATTGAAGTTCAACTCAAACCAATCGTAAATAATTGTGTTTATATGGAATTAAACAATGGCTGCGTTCAGCAGAGAAAGCTGCTTTGCAACTATTGTAAAATTCGTAAATCTGATATATGTTCTTCGATTCAACCAAAGAACATACTTTAATCAGATTCGCGAATTTTACAACAGTTGTAAAGCAGCTTTCTCTGGGAGCGGTGCACTTGGACACGGTGCATTTGGACATAGCCAATCACAGCACCGTGGGATTAGAGACATTTGTAGGGTCTCTTGGAACAGCGACTTGTGATTGGACTGTGTCCAATTGCCCCGTGTCCAACTGATATACACCCGCTTTCTCTGCTGAAAGCAGCCATTGTTAGATCTACTTTTCACTTGAGTTTTCAATGCAAGTTTTAATAGGCTTCTGTCTTTTTATTGCTTTTTTACGAAAGTGTGGATTCTCTCTCTGTACCACACAGGTGCGTTCGGGAAGCGCTTTATCAGCATTATTTAACATTGTCATATCATTCTGTCTCTATTGTATGTAAAGATAGAACGTCAAAGACAGAATGACGTGTTATGATTTGCAACCAGCATGACGCGCGATATCCAATGAACATGGGCAAATTTTTTAATTCATCGATGGGTCCATCGCATGATGCACAAATGCAGTAAAACGCTGTATTTGCGCATCATGCGATGGATCCATCGATGAATTAAAAAACTCGCTCCATATATAGCTCTTCAAATAATACACTTATTGGCTGCGTTCAACAGAGAAAGCTGCTTTACAACTGTTGTAAAATTCATGAATCTGATTGGTACATGCTCTTGAATTCGACCAAAATTAAGAACATATTCCAATCAGATTCACGAATTTTACAACATTTGCAAAGCAGCTTTCTCTGCTGAACACAGCCATTGAGTTTCAGTTTCAGTTTCAATGCTTGGCTGAGCACACTTTAACAGTGAGTGCCTCTACGCCATTACTCCGAACAGTGCTTCCATCGTATGTAGATTATGAGCAAGGTGCACTTTCAAATGGTGTAACCTATGGCTGCGTTCAGATTCCTTACCCGGGTGCACTCTAATACAAGAAGTGCTATAGTATATGTGACATATACTATAGTGTTTCTAGTAACAGAGTGCACCTAGGTAGGGAATCTGAAAGCACCCTATAATGGATAGAAACTTGGAGATAGTGTTATAAAGTCTTATATTTTCCGCATCGAAGGAGAGTTCGTGTATATCATCTTGAGTGGTGTATCCAATGTTATATATCTCTGTAATTAACTTGTCCGATTCAGCAGAATGTAGAGGGCATTTAAATAGAACGTGATATATATTACTCTGTCTGGTTCCGCATTTGCAAGTATCCTCTTTCATAATGTTCTTATCCTTTAAGCTGCGTTCAGATTCCCCACCCGGGTGTATTCTATTACTAGAAGTGCTATAGTATATGTCACATATACTATAGTGTTTCTAGTAATAGAGTGCACCCGGATGAGGAATCTGAACGCACCCTTAGGTGAGTGTTCGTACGTATGTGGTATGATCGTAACCTTGCCATCAACGAAATAACATCACGCTGGACAAATTTGAGGTCGCTGAACCATGGTTTATTGGCTAGATTCGCAACTTTCAGACGGTATCTGATACCTTTCCACTTAAATTGTTTATTCAGTACTTTATGAGATAACCTCATGAAATCGCTTTTCAAGCTTGAGATGAGATCATCGATATATATAGTCTTGCTGGGATCGATTCTGTCGCGGTTTGTGGCAAATTTTGCTAATTGGTCAGCTGCTTCATTACCAGAAATTCCTATGTGCGCTGGTGTCCAGATTACAGTAATATCGATGTTTATAGATTTAAGCTTTTCCAGTAAATCGGCAATCACTAAGATTGGATAATTGGGCTTTTTCTTGTTTGATAAATTCCTTAAGGAGGAAAGCGTGCTCATAGAGTCTGTACATATAGCGATCTTGTGTTTCTTTAATTTGGGTATAATGTTCAGAGTTTCAACAATTGCTTGCGCCTCGACATTTAAGATAATTTTAGTTCTTGTATATGGAAACGATAATTTGATATCTGGGTTGGTACAGAAAACTCCAAATCCGGCATGCCCCTCTGTATTTATAGAGCCATCTGTATATAGTATGCAGTCAAAATCCTGCTCTTTCAAGATAGAGTTAAAAATCTTATTGATACCAGTTATCGAGATCTTTTTTGAGCCAGAATAATAAAAATTTCCAACTCTTCTTCTGTATTTACTAATATTTTTGAAAGATGTGGTATCAATATTGAAGTTGTTAAATTTCGTATATAGCGGGAAGGACAAATGGCCTTCAAGTCTTTTAGATTCAATGTTTGGAATGAGATCCTTGTATGGATACAAGGTAGACCATGATCGAGTTTTTATCTGGATTTCTGGCTCCAAGGAGTCAAATGAGCTCCCAAGAGACTCGTTACGTGCGATGTGAGAGGGGATAGGCGATGTAAGAGCAGGATAGGTTGTAGTTTGGTAAGGATCTATCAAACCTCTTATAGAAAGTTTGATAACGCAAAAAAGATGCCTAACAACTAGAGGCCACTCGCCGCATTGGTCCAACATAATATTAGTGGGAGTAGAGCGCATGAACCCGAGAACACACCTCAATGATGCATACTGAACTCTATCTAGTTTGAGGGAGAGAGAGGAGGAGAGGCCCAAGAGAGAATACCCACCGTAATCTAAAACAGATCTGATAAGACTACGGTACACGGAAAGAATGAGTGTAGGGTGAGAGCTCCATCTTATACCCGATATAGCTTTAAGGATATTTATTCTCGGCTTGCATTTATCTACCATATAATTAACCTGACTTTTCCAAGAAAGAGCAGAATCGAAAATGACTCCCAAGAATTTAGCTTCACCGGATAGTTCTACCTTTTGACTATTGTAACTAATTTGGATATCCAAAGAAGAGTAAACTCTATTGAGAGTTGAGAATCTAGCAGTTTTATCAAAAATACAGTATTTAGTTTTAGATACAGAGAGCGTTAAGTCTAGGTCTGCGAGATTTTTCCCCAAAAGGCTTAAATTATGATTCAGTTTGGTGGTAATTGTTGAAATTAAGCTATGCTTGAAAAAAATAGCCAGATCGTCTGCATAAGCTAGTACACGTACACCGTCTTCCAGGCCGAACGAAATACCGGAAGAATAAATATTGTACAAAATTGGACTGAGGACAGAGCCCTGAAAAAGACCAATAGACGTTTTTCTAACACCAAGTGATACACCGCCCTAAAAGCACTCAACAACTCTATCAAATAGAAAGGCCTGTATTGCTGATACTATGTTTTTGGGAAAACCCATGTTTACCAGGAGGCAGCAAAGTTTGTTAGGATTTACATTATCAAAAGCGCCTTTGATATCAAGAAATAGAACACCAGTTTTTTTATTCTTCTTAAAAGATCTTTGGATGTAACTTTTCAGGTCAAGTATATTGTGTGCACACGACTTGCCAAGCGAAAGCCTCTCTGCGCGAAAGGTATAATTGCCGCGTTTTCGGCCCACCATTCAATTCTGTGGTGTAGAATTTTTTCATATAATTTAGCAAGATTATTTGCTAGAGATATAGGCCTTAAATTAGTTCCATCTCCTTTTGGGATGAAAACAAGAATATACTTTTTCCAGGAAGAAGGAATTATTCCTTGAGTGAAAAAATCATTAAATAGCTTAAGTAAAATCTCTAGCACAGCTGTCGGGAGTTTATTGATTATTAACCAAGTTATCAAGTCGGCACCAAGCGACGTTTTCTTCTTTGAAAGAAACTTTAGAGAAGCCAAAAACTCAGTCTTGCTAATGGCGTCATCCAAGAGCTCTTTATTTGAGAGGGTTTTCGTGGGAAGATTAGAAATCAGTTTTTTAAAAGGCGACGCTATGTTGTTAATAAATCTATTACATATAGCCGAGGGAATGTTTGTTGAAATTGTTTTGTCGAAGTTATTCAAGACTTTTAGTTTTTGATTATCAAGTAAGCCCCTATTTAGATCTTCAATTCTTTTGCTGTTGTTGAAAGCTCTCAGGATGTTCCATACCTTTCTAGGTTCAGATTTTATATTTAGCGCATTACAGAAACTTTTGAATTTTTTCTTCTTGATCTTCCTCAGTTTCCTATTCGCAATTCTACTTTCCTTCTGATATAGAGCAAGGTATTCAGAATTTGGAAAAAGTTTATATCGTTTGTACGCGAATAACTTATCTTGAATAATTTCGCGACACTCATCATCCCACCAGGGCGATAGTGGTCTTCGAGGTGTGGTACTCTCTCCAGGTTTGCGTGCTCCAGCCTCTACTAAAGCTTCATGGATGAGCCTCTCGAGTTCAGCGTAAGCCTTGGATGGATTTGAAAACTCCATAGAGTTGCGATAGTCTTGTAGATGAATGGAAGATTCTTCAAGTCGGTGAGCAAAGTAACTCCAGTCCACTTTGCTGACAGTATAATGAGGCTGCATATGAAGCCTAGTTGGAAGAATATGATTAATGTATATTATTATTGGGTAGTGATCACTACCATGCTTCTCATCACACACGTTCCAGTCTACCTGCATGCTGAGGTTGCTGGAAACAAGGGTAAGGTCAGGAGAGCTAGTGATTTGGCCGTTAGATGAAGACCAGGTGGGAGTGTCATGATTAGCAATTAGGAGATCAAGATCTATTAATATATCGTGGATAATTTTGCCAGTAGTGTTCGGAGAAGTGCAAGAGGAAGTCCAAGAAGGATGAGAACCATTGAAATCACCACAGATAATAACATTCCTAAAGGAATCAAGATATGATAAAACTTCAGACCATAACTCGGTTCGATTTTCACCAATATATCTGGAAGAAGAAGGAGGACAATATAAAGATATTAAACACAGTTCAGTATCGTTGTTGAAGAATTTCGAACCACAAATGTCCAAGTCTAAAGCTTGACGCGCCTTATTTATCCAGTAATTGGAATTAAGATCGATAACGTTCACTATTATTTCGCTTTGATAGACTATCGCACATCCACCGGAGGAGCGTGATCTATTACAGTTAATTATTTTATAACCTTTTAAATTAAAAGTAGAGTTTTCATCCATCCAAGTCTCACTGAGACATATGAAATTCGGAGAGGGGTTCAGTTGAGAGATAAAGTTGATTAATTCAAACTCTCTCGCCTTATATGAACGACAATTCCACTGGATGATATTGACCTTTCTAGATTTGCCCATTTTGAGGTCTGTAGAATTGTTATTAATTTTATTCTTAAGTAACACACAGAGAGGATTTGATGTCTTGCAATTGAGAAGAGATAGATAATAAGAGAGAGTTTGAATTAGTATCGTCGTTAGAATTGATCATATTATTTATCAATGAATTGAACGAGTTGATTAGAGTGATTATGTTATTTTGTAAATGTAAATATTTGGCATCGTTTGTAGAGTATGTGATGCCTTTCTTATATTTAAAAGTAGTGGGGATATTCATACCCAAGTGGGAGGAAGTATGTGGGGAAACTCCTGGTTCACTCGAAGCCAAGGTGTCCCCGGGAGAGAAGTAAGGTGAATCGAAGGAGGGCGTAGGATCTAGGGAAGAGGGAGTTATGATGGATGGGGAGGAGGAGGAGGGGAGGGAGAGTTGTTTTCTTTTTTGTGGAAATTAAAGGATTGATGGTATTTTTAGGTAAGAAGGAAAACTTTTTGTTATTATTGTTATTTTTGTTTGGATATTTGAATGACTGTAAAATAATAGGAAAGTTATTTTTATCCATAAAGTCATTAGAATAGGTTATATTGCACTTGACCGATAACATGTCGCTGTAGGATGAAGTCATTGAAGGAACATGCTTAGCTATGAAAGCATTCTCGATTGCGGTTGGATTTTTGAAGGCAAAGGGAATCCTCGAACCAGGAGGAAGGAATCATATCCACATACCTTCTGTAAAACTCTCCAGCGTCCCTATTGCTAATCCCGAGAATGGTCATAAGTTGTTTGATCTTTCTGTTTTCAACGAAAACAGGGCAAGTCTGACTATTGGCTGTATGAGCCGAATCTTCTAACCTTTTCCTAGTACAATTTATGCATTTGGAGAGCAAGGAGGAACACTCAGCCTCGCAGTGTCCTACAGCAGCGCACTTGGCACAAATTCTCGAAGATTTAGCGCTGCGACACTGTTCTTCAACATGTCCGAATCTTTGACATAAGTGACATCTTATAACCTTTTGAATATAAGGCTTTAGATTGATAATTTTCCCGTATAGGGAGGCTCTATCTGGGTAAATAGATCCTTCGAAGGTGATTATATAAGCAGAAGCTTTCCTTCTGCGTGAAGTATCAGAATTAGTACGATCAGATGTTTTATCAGGCTTGGAGATACCTTTAACGGCCACGACTTTCGGCCATGAATCCAACCAGCCAGGCGGAGGGGAGAGGTTCTCTTGGATTTCCTCGTCATTGTCAAAATTGTTAATATCCCAGGAGATGCAGGTACGTTGTATTTTGTAGTTAGGGATATATGCTATCCAATCTGAATGCGGGAACAGATGATCTCTCATTTCCATGAATCTTCCTACAATGGAATTTGCAGCATCTCTGCTATTAAATTTAACAGAGAATTTGCTGCGACCGACGTTTTTTAAATCATATGCTTCATTCAAAAGATCTCCCATTATTTTGAGCGCCACTTTCCCCAACTGAAGTTCGTAGCAGATAATGATTTGTTAGAGATGAACCGTTCGATACGTACCTCGAACGGTCTTAGGTGCGAAGGAGGGTATTTATTATTGCTTAATTTAAGCAAATGTGGAGGCACATCTCTGTAGGGCCGTTTTTTCACTTCATCCTTGGATGAGTTAGACTCAGATGCGTGGGATCGTTTACCACGTCTTCGCACAAGGCGTTGGATTTTCGTTTGGTGGACGCTCTGGCTGTAGTTTTAGTGGTATTCAAAGTCTCTCGCAATTGCGAGTCTTTCTCCGCAGTCATCTTGGGTGACGTCATCTTGCTTCAAATCAATGGCAGACAAAGAGCCAGGCAAAAACTGATGATATCTCGATGAAGAGATAGAGAATTATCTCTATTTCCGACGGAATCTTATAAGATTCACGCTTTAAGAATCGGTTAAGATCTTTCGGTTAAGAAGTTCGCTATTAAAACAACGATTTATGACGATTTTTAAGAGGGCTTAACAAATGCGACTAAGTACAACTGTTGCCAACGTAAAACTCACCATAGCCATTGAATGCCACGTGTCACGCTAGCTGTGAGGCCGATGTCCCATGGGACGGAAATTCTCCGTGGAACGGAACATGCGGAACCAGTACGATCAATCACAGTCATCCCGCTCTTTTTTGTGCCGTTTCACTATAATCTTACCGCTGTAATTTTGCGGAAAGGATAAAGATAGTCACGGATAACCTCACCGCGTCCTGTGTGCAGGACCATTAGAGTGGAGTCCCATAGCACGTATTTTCGCGTAATAGTCGTATAACACTAGCGACTCACGACTGCGATTGTCTCTTGATCAGTCAGAAAGAATCTGCTAGCTACTACTGCTTTTCTCATCGGTCAAGAGCAATCGCAGACGCAGCCGCAGTCGCGAGTCGCTAGTATGATACGGCTATAACACGTAATCGCGTAACCAATCACATCTTTCTATTTTTTTAGAAGATCCAACAGAAATACTAAACGTCGCAATTTATTGGTTATGCGCTTACGCGGTACGTGGAAAGTACATGCCATGGGACTTCAGCCTTAAAGCTCGTCTACAATGTCTGTAAGAATATGGATATAAGATTGTAACTGTTAGATTGTGAGCTGTTAGAGAATGAAAATAATTCATTTCGCGTCTTACAGCCTTACAGCCATATTCTTACAGACATTGTAGACCACGCTTTAGGCTGATATTTCACGTGTCGTACGACAAGCTTTTTGGATACGTTCATTAGTTGACGAACAGAGAACCTAGAAATACTCCATTCGCTAACCAATAAACGTATCCGAAAAGCTTGTCGTACGACACGTGAAATAGCACCCTTATGGCTTCTGTAAACAGGACGCGGTAATGCTTGCCGCGCGGCGAAAGTCTGCGCGACAGCCAATGAATATGTTGTTTTCCGTAAGAGCTAGAAGGTTATTACGGAATCCTGCACGCGTCGTATGTGCAGGAGCCATTAGGGTGCGATTACATGAGCGTACGGAAACACGGAGATGCGTAAATGCGGAAAAGTAACTAGTAACTAAATGGGATCCAGTTTCGTTCTGCTTTTCCGTGGATTTTATGCGGAAATACGGAACAAGCAAAAAGCATAAGATAGTGATACCATACTGTCACCCGAAGCCAACCATCGTAAAGTCACCTGCAATCTTATTCGAGCATTTATTAGATTACGAACTACTCTCTGTTTTTCGATGTGAGGTCAAACGATTGTCAGTAATTCATCGAACATTGTTGGTGACATCCGCAGATAGTTAAAATATTTTTCGTTGGCAGACAATAGCATTTCAACGATTAAATTATCACTGGCTCTTTGTAACAATCTTCGTTGTTCAGAAAATATAGGTTTTACCTACATTCTGCGATTTCGTCTGTCTTCTAATTTTTTGTAACAATTGTAGATATAGAATAATTTTATAACTTTTTTTATCGTTATTTCCGTATACCTCTTTGGTTGCTTTCGTGCTCGTATTACCAGTGTAATCATAGCCATTAACATATAATTTAAAATCATTTGCAGCAAGCATAAACGTGGCAATCAAACGTAATAAGCCAAACTTTACAGCTTTTAAATCTTCTTTCACAGATTTGTGTATGCGCTCACACAAGGAGTATATATAATGGAGTAAACGCATTCCCTTGATTTGGTTGTCCTAAATATTACATGGAGCACAATTTGTGCGGAAATGCGGAACGGTATAGTGATAAATAAATATTTGTATACATTTTAAAAAGTTATATTTACTTCATTCATTGCAATTTTTATTAATACGCTTCTTTTTTCAACTTATCCGTTTAATAAAAACATTTTAATCAATAAATATCGTTTACAATTAATGTTTTATAATTCCTTGTTCTACTTTTTCGTATAAAATATGCTCCATGTAATATTTAGGAGAAATAAATCTACGGAACAAAAGCGCGGAAATGCGTAAATCTAGTTAAGTCCTAGTAACTTTGTCTTCCGTATTTCCGCATTTCCGTATTTCCGTACGCTCATGTAATCGCTTAGGCTGATATTACGTCGTATGACAAGCTTTTCGGATATGTTTATTGGTTGGCGAATAGCATATTTCTAGGTTTTCTGTTCATTAATCAATGGACGTATCCAAAAAGCTTGTACGACACATATAATATCAGCCTTAGGGCCTTCACACACAAATTGACATAATACAGGATTCACACCGCGTCCGATGTCCGATATCCAATAAAAGAATAACTTTCCCATGGAGAATTGAATTCTATATTAAAAAGCTGTTCTCCTATTGAATATCGGACATCGTACGTCGGACATCGGACGCAGTGTGAATCCTGCATAACAGTAACGTAAACCTTAAAACATATATATATATATACAGGGTGTTCAAAAAGTCCCGGACCGGTGAAATATCTCGAAAACTAAGCATTTTAGAAAAAAATGTTTCAGATAAAAGTTGTGGCGTTTAAAAAGATGTATTTACTGATCACATCAGTTTGACCTTG